GGCAACCATTGGAAAATAAAAAATATTTTTTTTGCAAGGTTTGTAGCGAGCGGAGACTCAATCAAATAGTGATTTAATATTTCAGAAGAGCAAGCGGAAAGCAAGAAAATAGCGATCCAAAAGCAAAAAAAGCAACATAGCGAGCGAATAGTGATTTTTCCAAGGAAAATTCGAAATTTCGCATTTTTTCTGTCATCCCGAACGATCCGAGCAAGGAAAATTAGCACCGTTATTGGGAAAATGGCTTTTCGCTCGCTATTCGCTTGCTTTTGCGTATCAAATTCAAAAAGGAAAATACCGAGCGAATAGTGATTTTTCCGAGGAAAATTCGAAATTTCGCATTTTTTCTTTAATCCCAAACGATCCGAGCAAGGAAAATTAGCACCTTTATTGGGAAAATTGCTTTTCGCTCGTTATTCGCTTGCTTTTGCGTATCAAATTCAAAAGGAAAATAGCGAGCGAATAGTAATTTTTCTGAGGACAATTCGAAGTTTCGCATTTTTTCTTTCATCCCAAACGATCCGAGCAAGGAAAATTTGCACCTTTATTGGGAAAATTGCTTTTCGCTCGTTATTCGCTTGCTTTTGCGTATCAAATTCCAAAAGGAAAATAGCGAGCGAATAGTGATTTTTCCGAGGAAATTCGAATTTTCGCATTTTTTCTTTCATCCCGAACGATCTGCGCAAGGAAAGTTAGCACCTTTATTGGGAAAATTGCTTTTCGCTCGCTATTCGCTTGCTTTTGCGTATCAAATTCAAAAAGGAAAATAGCGAGCGAATAGTGATTTTGCCGAGGAAAAATTCGAAATTTCGCATTTTTTCTTTCATCCCAAACGATCCGAGCAAGGAAAAGTTGCACCTTTATTGCGAAAATTGCTTTTCGTTGCTATTCGCTTGCTTTTGCGTATCAAATTCAAAAAGGAAAATAGCGAGCGAATAGTGATTTTTCCGCGGAAAATTCGAAATTTCGCATTTTTTCTTTCATCCCGAACGATCCGAGCAAGGAAAATTTGCACCTTTATTGGGAAAATTGCTTTTCGCTCGTTATTCGCTTGCTTTTGCGTATCAAATTCCAAAAGGAAAATACCGAGCGAATAGTGATTTTTCCGAGGAAAATTCGAAATTTCGCATTTTTTCTTTCATCCCAAACGATCCGAGCAAGGAAAATTTGCACCTTTATTGGGAAAATTGCTTTTCGCTCGCTATTCGCTTGCTTTTGCGTATCAAATTCAAAAAGGAAAATAGCGAGCGAATAGTGACTTTTCCGAGGAAAATTCGAAATTTCGCATTTTTTCTTTAATCCCAAACGATCCGAGCAAGGAAAATTAGCACCGTTATTGGGAAAATTGCTTTTCGCTCGTTATTCGCTTGCTTTTGCGTATCAAATTCAACAAGGAAAATAGCGAGCGAATAGTGATTTTTCCGATGAAGATTCGAATTTTCGCATTTTTTCTTTCATCCCAAACGATCCGAGCAAGGAAAATTAGCACCTTTATTGGGAAAATTGCTTTTCGGTCGCTATTCGCTTGCTTTTGCGTATCAAATTCCAAAAGGAAAATAGCGAGCGAATAGTGATTTTGCCGAGGAAAAATTCGAAATTTCGCATTTTTTCTTTAATCCCAAACGATCCGAGCATGGAAAATTTGCACCTTTATTGTTTTTTTTTTCGCTCGCTATTCGCTTGCTTTTGCGTATCAAATTCAAAAAGGAAAATAGCGAGCGAATAGTGATTTCTCCGAGGAAAATTCGAAATTTCGCATTTTTTCTTGAATCCCGAACGTTCCGAGCAAGGAAAATTAGCACCTTTATTGAGAATATTGCTTTTAGATTGCTATTTTTTTGCTATTCGATTGCTTTTGGTTTGCTTTTCGCTTGCTCCTCTCAAGGCTACCAAAATGTGCAATTGCTATTTGCTTGCTTCAAAATCACTCCAGAATTGCTAAAAAAATATTTTGACCCTACCCAACGGTTGCCTGACACGCAACTCAATCAGAAATCCAGAAACAGAACAAAGTCCTACATACTCACATCTTCAAGAAGATCGTATCGCCACCTGGCTCGAACACACCAGACCGCCTGGTAGTGACAGAAGTAGATCGTCATGGAGAAGAACGGAACAGGCAACCTGAGTACTTCTTCAATGGAATCGTTGGTCATGTCAGAGCAGAAAATGGAGGCTACATAGACAGCTGGCATCAGGCCACTCGCCTTGCCAACTACTGGCGTCGTTTCTACGACATTCCCGTGCCGGACGACAACTACCAACATTGGCACCAGCCGTGGCAATCGTCTGAAAATGCTGATCAGACATCGGATTACCAAGAATCCCACCATGATTCCGTGATGGATGACAACACATCCAACGCGGCCAACATCGGCACATTACCGGTTCCAAGTCAGATCCACCAATTGGCGAGAATCCTTTACGACATTCTCAGCAATGACAGAGAAGCCAATGCAGCGATCCTTGAGAAGATTGAAACGGACCAATCCGACTTGGCCACCGATCCGTGTCAAATTTTCACGGCGGAAGACTTGGCCCACCTTGCCAGTCATTTGGCAACCACGACACAAACTTTGTCGCAGCATGCTCTGAGAATGCAAATGGAGGCCCTGTCAGACATTGAAGACTGACATCAGGAACGACGACTGAGCCTTTTCGCTAATTCATTTCCCTCTCTCCCCCATTTCCTGCTTCAGGGAACAGATAATAGCCCTTCACCGTTGGTGACCTCCATAAAAAAGCCTCGCGGCAGTGGGGCGTGTGTGCGGAACATCTGAAGAGATGTAAAACTTCTAACTTGTGCTTTGCTCGTTTTCGTCAGAGGTTCTAATCTTAGTTTGGTTTTTCAACCTGATTTTCAGCAGGGGGCCCGTGGGCACATGGATGGCACGGGCCAACGAAGACCCATCCATGCTGTCGTGTAAACGTACCTGCTTCGTTTTCATTTTTCCGAAATGGCAACCGGCCAAGCCAAGAACCGGCATGTCGTTTCTCAAACAGTTTTCCAACCAAACTTTCAGGTTTCAATTTGACGTCACGTCACTCATTCGCTGCATCAGAACGATTTGCTTCATCTAGCAAGGACGTAGAAAGATTTCCTTCACACTGCTGTTCCCTTTGGATCATCCAATTTCTCTCGTCAGGTTTAAATAGGGTGTTGTTGCACGTGAGATGCACTCCACATCAGTAATTCGAAAAGATATTTCTGAGCAAGTGTGTGGAGCGTGAAGTGTGTAAAGTGTAGAGTGTGGAGTGTGGAGTGAGGAGCGTGGAGAGTAGAGTGTGGAGTGGGGAGTGTACAGTGTAAAGTGTAAAGTGTTGAGTGAGGAGTGCACAGTGTAAAGTGTAAAGTGTGGAGTGTAGAGTGTGAAGTGTAGAGTGTAAGGTGCAGAGTGTAAAGTGTAAAGTGCAGAGTGTAAAGTGTAGAGTGTGGAGTGTCAAGTGTAAAGTGTAGAGTGTGGAGCGGAAAGTGTAGAGTGTGGAGTGTAAAGTATGGAGTATGGAGTGTGGAGTGTGGAGTGTGAAGTTGGAGTGTAAAGTGTGGAGTGTGGAGTGAGGACTGTGGAGTGAGGAGTGTGGAGTGTGGAGTGTGGTGGAGTGTGGAGTGTGGAGTGTGGAGTGTGGAGTGTGGAGTGTGGAGTGTGGAGTGAGGAGTGTGGAGTGAGGAGTGTGGAGTGTGGAGTGTGGAGTGTGGAGTGTGGAGTGTGGAGTGTGGAGTGTGGACTGTGGACTGTGGAGTGTGGAGTGAGGAGTGTGGAGTGTGGAGTGTGGAGTGAGGAGTGTGGAGTGTGGAGTGTGAAGTGTGGAGTGTGGAGTGTGGAGTGTGGAGTGTGGAGTGTGGGGTGTAAAGTAAGGAGTGTGGAGTTTAAAGTGTGGAGTGTGAAGTGAGGAGTGTACAGTGTAAAGTGTGGAGTGTAGAGTGTAGAGTGTGGAGTGGCGAGTGTAAAGTGTGAAGTGTTGAGTGAGGAGTGTACAGTGTAAAGTGTAAAGTGTGGAGTGTAGAGTGTAGAGTGTGAAGAGTGAAGTGTGGAGTGTGGAGTTTAAAGTGTGGAGTGAGGAGTGTGGTGTGAGGAGTAAAGTGTAAAGCGTGGAGTGTAGAGTGTAAAGTGTAGAGTGTAACGTGTAGAGTGTAAAGTGTGGAATGTGGAGTGTAAAGTGTAGAGTGTGGAGTGTAAAGTGTGGAGTGGAAAGTGTAGAGTGTGGAGTGTAAAGTGTGGAGTGTGAAGTAAGGAGTGTGGAGTGTAAAGTGTGGAGTGTGAAGTGTGGAGTGAGGAGTGTACAGTGCAAAGTGTAAAGTGTGGAGTGTAGAGTGTAGAGTGTAAAGTGTAAAGTGTGGAGTGTGGAGTGTAAAGTGGCAAGTTGGGAGTGTAGAGTGTGGAGTGTGTAAAACAGGTTGGAATGTTGCGAACGTAACCGCAACGTCGAGCGAACACACCCTCAGCCCCCAGACCCCCAGAGTGAAACGGGAACCCTGCTTTGCATTCGGGAAAAAGGCATGGCATGGAGGAAAGGCAAAACTTTGAAAAAAATAGGAACATAGAGGCAAGCATATTAAAAAAAAAAGGATCCGAAGCTCAACGGAGAGCAGCGTCCGTTGGGGTTCGGAGCAAGACAGTTTGCAGAACAAAAAAAATCCGGCTAGGGGCTGGCTTTCGTCCCCCCTTCCCAGGCTGTTTCTATTTGAGAGTTTTTGTTTTTTAGGGTTTTGAGGTGTTTTTGGTGTTTTTGCCTTTCTCAATTTACGAGATCCGACAAAGACGTAGCGTGCGTTTGTTTGACAGAAGATTCGATGGTTTTTATGTTCGGGGAAATAACATGGGTATATGGGAGTGTGAGTATGGCAAGTTCCTGGCCCATGTACTGTTGGAAACATGCGGCATTCAACCCCAGATCCAGATACAACTTGGCCGTTCGTAGAGAAAGTACCAGACAAATTTCATGCATGCATGCAGGTGCCTTGCTATGCTTGTGTTCCCAGATGTTTTTTTCTTGAAGTTTGTGGCCTGCAGTGTAGCCTGGTGTTGTTGATCTTAGCAGCAATGGCGCACCAGAAGCGAGAGAGGGAGGCCAAAGAGATTGGAAGGGACCTGGGGGTCTACCAATGGAGTCTTGGATGTCATGCCCATTTTGAGTTTTTGTTTTTCGCATGATATTGCCAGATGACATCAGCACTATGTAGCGCAGAAACTGGAGACATATTAAATATGAATTTGGGGTGAATCGGAATTAAAATTATGGGGAGCGTGGTGCAATCACAAATGTATCCACCTAGAGCTGGCAGGAGCGAAATTGTTCCCCGAATCGTTTGCTTTCGCTAAGGAACCCTTCGCAGGTCCAATCCTTTCTGGTTGACCTCCGCTTGGAACGTTGGGGACCAATCTTTGAAGACGTCGATGGTGCAACCCTCACGGAGCTCTCCGAAGATGATCTCAAGGAAACGCTGTTTCTGACGCCGCAACCATGTTTTTTTCCGTGAACTCCAGGGAGCAAACAGTTTATGTTTTTTGTTGAAACTGTCGTTGTTGTCGGTCATGCGTTTTTCCTGTGAATAAACTATGCAGGTATTCGGAGTGGCTTCAGTTAGTTCCAAGTGACATTAAACATATTTCACCCCATCAGTCCTTGACAAATACCCAAGTGGGATTTGTTTTCTTATTTTTTTTGTCAGCACAGCAGAAACATACTCAAAAACAATACCAATCATTACCAATCAATTCATGTCCACGTGAACCTGAAAATGCGTGTGAAATCTGACTTCACAGAGACACCCTGAACTCAAACGTGCCATCAATGGAATTATGGAATTGTGCATATCGCATGCGCACAGTATGTCATGTGAATCGATTGAATCGATTGTCAATGTTTGAAATGTGCACTCGGTGAGGAACTTGGGTGCGATCAACTCCTGATGAGGAAAAAACTCTTGGGCCACATCCAGAAATTGAAATTGGAGGCAAACTCAGATTCCAATGAAACTTGGTTTTTCTTGGCAGCTGTGATTTATGCCAACCAGTAGAGGGTACAAAATGGATGGATTCTTTGGTTTCAGGCTAGTATAACATTGTACATCTCTATCACTGGGCGGACCAATCATTTCATGACGTCGATTTGTAGTTCATGTTGTTGGTTTCCAAGAGCAGGTTCATTTTTTTGAAGGTCTGCCGGAGTGACAGGAATTTGACCACGAAGGGTCGGCATATCACCGAGGACGTGGCCATGCCATTGATGTCGCAGGCCGATCCCCCCATCGCACCGGTCGCCGCGCCGGTCGCCGCGCCCGTCATCGCGCCTTTGTGCGATGCCCCGGCACGTGCAGGCGCTGCGCCGGAACCATCTCCACCAGCGGCTGCATCAGTGGAAATACAACACCATCAGGCCAGGGAGTCGGAATGCTGATGCAAAAAATATAGTTTGATTTTGAGATATTTTGAGATTGACATTGAAGTTGTAAAAAATTGGCAACGGTGAATATAATCTGCACGTCTTTGATTTTCTGACACCCTGCCCTCGAGGACATGACATTGGCGGTTCTTCACACTGAGTGGGAGCAAGTCAACCTACTGCAAGAGGAATTTCAAAATGCAGCGGGCATCTTCGAGAAACTCCTGGAGCGATTCACACTTGTGGGGAGTGACGCGTTTTTCGTGTCGATGGATTCGGTCCGGCAATTTCATGCTGGCGGCTCATCATGCCTGGCACACTCAACGGACTCAACCAACCAAGATCTTTACCAATTGGCCGAAACAGTCGTTGAACAGCTAGCTAAGTTCCTTTCAGCTTCAGATTTCTTCTCACTGCTCTCCACTCACCATACCAATGAGATTGAACCTCTATTTAATCTCTGATTCATGCAGAAATTATATCTTTAATTACATACTCCCAGTCAAACCTTGATTGGATCGATTCATTTTGGCCCCCAAATTGAAACTATTTCAATCTATTTTGGGGGCTGGGATTGCTAGTTCAATTGACTCCGGCGGCGAGGAGCAGCGTGCCCAGCAGGTGACTGGGCGAAGTCTTGCTTCTAGCTTTCTTCAGGAGGTGCTGAGGCAGATACGGGAGGCGCAAGAAACTGCGATTCCTTGTCCTGCCCGTAGCTTTGGCAAAGTATTTTCTGAGTGCCCGGCTTGTGGCTTGTGGTTATTTATTTATGTTTCAGCAAAGTATAAAGGATACTATTTTCGGTACTCAGAACCATTGATGCCATGAGCAGTTGAAGACATACAAAGGCAAGGCAGACCCTGATGCCCAGGTATTCCGGTCTTTGGCAACACCGGTGCTGGCAAATCCACTCTGCTGAAGCTTGGCTTGGAGTCGAGTAAAAGAATGTAAAAGACACATGACTCATGACAGGTTATGCAGTCCCAGTTGGATGCTTCGCTGAACACTGCCATCGCCCATTCTTTTGGTAATTTTCTAAGTAACAAATCTGGACAGTGATTACCTCTCATCAACAGGTAGGCCTTCCGAGCGTCTTCAAGAATGAAGCTGGCAATGCAAACGCTTTTCAATTTTCTTTTTCATCAAGTCTATCATATCTTCTATCAACATTGTCAGTACAAATATTCGGTCGATTTGCCATTGCCAGATTGAATTTCCCCCAAAAAACCATCCGTGATGTATCCTGGCAAGTAGGTCCCCATTTTTCGTGGCTTATCCCATCTATAAATGGGTCATAACTATGGGTTTCTAGCCAGGATCTGCGGGATTATTTTCCAGGTTACAGCCGTTATGGATGGATATGCTCCATTCATGGTGGATACATATTCCATTTATCCTATTATAACAGTATCATAACCATGGTTAATAGCGCCGCTAACCACTAGGTTGTGCTTTTTTTCCAGAATTATGCCATCATCAAAATGGTTGCAACATGATGTTTTGAACTCTTAGGACATAAATGGGTGAACCCAGTGTGATTTTTCATCCCCTCCGTGCTGTCAGGAACGCCGTGCTACGGCAGAACGTGGTGCCCACCTCTGGGTGGCGTTCCTGCACTGCGGTGCCCGTGGAGCTCACCGCCTCCAACGTTGCGGCTTTCAGGGGCGAGGCAGACAAAGTGGAAGTACAAAATCATGGAAAATCCAACTTGACATTGGAAAAATGATCCAAATAAAATCAAATAAACAAGAAAGTGGAAATCCATGAAACCCCCGCTAATGACAAATGGAACCTTTTTCTCAGTCTTTTGAAGGGTTGCCATGCATGGGAGAAATGCAGTACTTGAGAAGATCTAAGTCTGCGCAGATCCTTTGTTTGACGAACTTTGTAGATTATTTAGCAGGGTTCTGTGCAACACTATCACAATCCATGACGGCTCGCAAAGAAGTTCACACACTAACCGTTGTGGCGAAAGGGTTAAACCATGTTAAACCCATACTGCACATTCGAGGCATAGTCCATGTAAAATGAACATAAACTCCAATAACTTGATCATTGGCTTCAGTCCTCTTCACCATTGAGCGTGTAAGTCTAGTTCCAGTTGAGGAAGCCAAGCGACCATGTCATTGGGATTCCTGAACTGTAGCCAACGCCAAGACAAATGGCTTTTGTTTCCATAAGATGATGGATGCTCCAGTTTCCAGGGGGTTTTCTGCAAAGCCTGGCCTGCATCAGGTTCATTTGAAGAGCATGGAAGAATGGAAAGCCGAGGTGCAGGCAGCCTTGCAGGACCATGGTTTCATACTGTTTCGGAGCTTCCGAAAATTGGGTTACCCCAAAACATTTGGGGAAACCCATCAAAATAGCGACCAATAATTCGAATGTTTTTTTTGGGGTCCTCCGTTTTCGGAACCTCCATTTCTCAACAGAACCAGGTATTTCTTTGGAATGACGATTCTCGTTTTCATGATTGCAGACAACACGCTTGCGTTGATGTTGCTGACATTGTTTCTGATGGTGTCGTTTTGGCCACACAGACGGGTGCTATCATTGAGAGAATTTTGACATCGCAGGATACAACGGTTGTTGCTAAATTCTGAATTCAATCAGTGATTTTGGAAGCTAGTTGATTGTATCCGTATGGCTGAAGAGAGATCCCCCAATCGCTAGGATCTACTGATGAGCGATCGGCAACGTGTTTCGCGGCGAGAGCCAGTGAGGGGAAAAGAAGAGACGCCAGCAGACGTGGCCTTTGCCACACTTGTTGCCGTTTATCCCGAGGCCGATGGGCCCATGGGAAGCTTCTAACCCACCTGAATCATCTCTGGTAGTTTGACAGCAGTGGAAGCCAACCCCATTTAAAGAGGACTATGACTATTATTTTAGATGGTGATTGTCCATAGCAAACTGGTAGTTTTCAATCGAGGAGATGTTGGAAATTGACGGGTCACCGATGATCCAGAGTCTGAGCACGTCTTGCGATTTGTTCCGACCTGTCACTCTGCACCTTCATCTAACTTTTTCCAACAAAGGTTCCCAAGTAGGAATGAACTTACCATTTTTTTTTTCATTTGAGTTACTATGACTGAGAGTAGAGCGTTGCGACAAACAGGGATTGTTGTAGTGGAAACCCTGATTGGTTGGGCTAGGCACAGGAAGTGCTTGGCTTTAATGTGGGGTGCCAGGGTAGGATAGGCCTCCACAGACATGGCAATTCCTTCTCCTGAATTGCCAGTGTAGCATTGTTTCATAGTTTCATTCCTTGTCTCTTGCTTGCAGTTGTTGCTCTTGCTCCGTCTGATGATGCTTCCAATGCTATTATTTCGCAGCGAAGACCAGGCTTTCATGTACACCAGAGATCCCTGGCCATCCGTTGCTGCTGCCACGAGGGAGCTCTTTCGCATTAGGCACGATCGAGCAAACCTTTATAAGCCAAGCATAGAACACGTAGAACATGTAGTGGATCAAATCAATACAAGTCCTGATACTTTCTGCCATCTGTGTCATTGGCATTGACGTTTCAGTGAGAAATTCTTTCATGCAGCTTGTGCTGCAGGAACCAGGTAACGACAAAGCATGCTGCAGACAAGGCCTACGCTAGTGCCGGTGTTTTCCTTTTTGGACGAAAGGAACCAGATCTGTTGGAGACATCCTGGTTGCCTGGTTTTCACAATACCATTACATTAGTTATCATTAGCTGCATCAATGTTATTCGTCATCATTGAGGGCTAAGTTGTGGTTTATAACAATTACAAATGATGGATCACCTAAGTTTTTCCATGGTTGTCCTAACCTTTACAAATTATCAATAGATTCACTATTTTGGCCGATTCCAAAATTCCTTCAGTTCGCCAAGTTGGCAGGTGCTGAAGTTCGAAAATGCCGATGGGGAGACCTTGGCACAGGAGGTGGTGGATTACATCGACTCTCCCGAGAGGGATTGGCAGCCTGCCTTTTTTCCGCTGGTCAAGAAGGCCGGAAATGGCATGACATGGCATGACATGGCATGACATGGCATGACAAATCGCTGAAAAAATGCGGAATCCATGTACTTAAACATGAGTAGCAACCAGTGCCTGCTTTTGGTTGGGGTAAATAATTTGGGGAACCAATTGCTGGTAGCAATGCCTGCCCTTTTGGGGAAGTAAAGAATTTCGAATTGACACACGTCAACCTTTGCCAGGTGCGCATCATTTGCCCTGCAGCAGCTGCCCATGTGCATCCCCATGTTGTCCTCGTAGATGCGCCCGGTGTGCAAGATGCCAACGCAGCACGAGGCAATGTGGTGAAGAAGTTGTTGGAGGAACTGCCGGTTGAGCCGTGGGGGTCTGGAGTGGATCGATTTCAGCACCGAGCTGATGCATGTCATCTTTTTGCAGGTCCATTTTCCCATGGCAAGTTGTCTTGTAGCTGGACAACACAGCAAAATTCCGATTGTTCACAGCAAAGTCATTGCTGACATCGCACGGGATGTTCCCCTTGACAAATTCCAATCATCTCTAATTGGGTATGTCTGAAAATGGGGTATACCCCCAATTATAGCCATTTAGTAGGGATAATGATCATTAACCATTGGGTGTAGGGGTACACTATTTTCAGACAAACCCAATAATTGACAAATCGTCGATCCGATGTCGATCCGAAATCCTGGATCTTTCCCCATCGAAGCCCGTGTGGCACCTGCGCGAGGACGCCCAGAGCGTCGTCATCGTGTCCAACATCAAACGTGCAGCCACGGAGCGAGTGGCCCAGGCCCTGTTTCGGGTCAACACATTCATCAAATGCACATGACATCGCATGACATGGTTCTCAGCTTCAGATGTTCAGCATTGTTCACTATTCAGTTTGTGACTTATCATTCAAAGTCACTAAAATATATTTGGCATTGAGAATGTGGTCATCATGATGGTCAAATCTGGTGCGCCACATGCCTTCGTAGGAAATGCTCAGCGAACGCTTCCGGCGGCAATTGCTAATGGACGGTGGCTTGCTGCAAACTACGTTTATGAAATATTTCCTATTTCATTTCTCCTTGAACTCTCAATCTCCCGGCAATGCTTGATATCTCCTGGTACAGTTTTTTGAATTCTCCTATCTCAGTCCTTTATTTGTACCGGACCCTATGCTCAGGACACTATGGGCGCCTAGCCTTCGTGGCATCATGCACAGATGAGTTGACACTGCGACTTGGATTGTAGCAAAGCAGGTGGACTTTTGAAAAGCTGGATTCTCTTGAGCGAATTCAATGGAAAGAGGACGGAAAGAGTCAAATGGGACTCAAGATGTAGTTGGCTCCTACATAGCTGGATAATTTTTGAAGATAGATAATACTTTGCAGCTGCAACTCTGATGACTATCTCAACACAGACTCGACTGTCAATAGATGCTTCCTTTACTTCGAAGGGACGTGATGACGTGATGTGTCTTGCTGCTTTGGACCATGTTTAGGTCGGAGCTCAAGAGAAATTTGAAGCTCAAGAAAGATGTCTCCAAGGAGACAGCGGCAGCTCTCCGAAATGCACCTGGCCAGCAGATTCCAGTGATGTAGACACACCACCTGAAAGATCCCTGCAGCCCGAAAAGTACTTGTTGGGTTGTTGAAGGGTTTTTATCTAATCTAAGTTCACTTTAAACTTTAAACGCATGATTGCTATCGGGTGTTTTGACATGTACAGTCTTTCTTGATGCTACCAAGCTTGCTCTTGTGAACAGGAACCAATCCCAAAGCAACTCCTATAGGCTGGACACTGATCAAACCCACAAATCCGAATTCAAGATCCTTGCATCACTGGTCCAATAAGCTATGTGCGCTCGCGCACAACAGCTTTGAGAACATTGTTTTGGAACACTCTTGGGCAACCTTTGTACAAGAGCGTTCTGTACAATGTACAACACTGCTGTAGCTCTTTTACAACATTCGTATAGAATCTTTGTAGAAGGGTTTCGGACAAGCATGTTAACGCGCTTGGACAATGCTGGTGGTCAGCTCTCTTGCGCAGCGCTATTGTAGAACCCTTGCTGCTAGACACTCTTGCAGAACTCTCATCCAGAGCGGTCTTCGTACAGTACGATATTGTTTCGACAATACTTCTACAAGACTTTTCAATACGCTCGTGGAAAGTCCTCTACAACACATTTGTCGCACAACTATTATTCTGAAGACTTTGGATTAACACCTTTTTTGCTTTAGTCTTCTTGTATAATCCTCATTTCATGCAAGTTGCACCCTGCTGCCGAGATAAATCCCAAGTACATCTACGTACTGTGCATGTCTATGCTGGAATTCCGAGAAAAAAATGGGGCCGTTTTCGATAATTTCCACTACTGGGTGGGAACTCCACAATGGCGAAACTTCAAGCTTGTGCACATTGAGATGAGAACCCGACTCTCATCTCGTACACCGTGCACTGTAGAAAGGTTAGGGTATGATAAAATGACAAGAGTGAGATCTGGGTTGTCACATGTTTCGGTTCACTGTATACAAGATCGAATTCTATCGAATTTGATTTGTGCTTTGACCATACTATCTTTCTGGCTATGTCACAGTTTACCGTCTTTTGCGTTCATCTACATCCAAATTGTCGTCTCCTATTAGTTTAGTCTGTACAAGGCAGTGGAAATGCTGGCGCCAACAATCTCCACGATCCTTAGGAAAACTTCGGCATATCACATGTTTGATTTTGTCCATTTGCTATGAAATCGCCCGCACACCCTTCCCAAACTCACGCGCTTGCCATGCAATCATGACACACCCTTTTGCACGGTGCTGAAGCAATCCATCAACCACAACAGCTTTACTTTGGAACAACATCTGTGTTGAGCTTCACAACAGTAGTGTGAAAACCGAGCCAGCTTTGGAACAGGAACCCTTAGCTATGGCTCTGCAAATGACTGGTGATGGTTAGGTATTGGGAGGTGCAGAGAACATGAGATACAATTAAAGCATCAAGGGTTCAAGTATGAGTGACTCAGACGAGCCAAACTGATTCATGCAGATTGCATGGACTTTGTATATCTGAGTGTATTCACATTTTTTCCATGTTTTCAGATGGTATTCATTCAAGCAACACGCTCCAGTGGATCTGTCGCAATGATCTCAGGCCAGTGCCAAGGAAAAGATCACCACCGATTGCTTTGCGGGTCTTCGGCGCATTGAAATCCAAAGCGAGCAGCGTAGCCAGTCACTTGGCGGAGCACTGCCTGGGCTCAGGCATCACAGGCAGATGGTTGTGGGAACCGAGGAGGTCTCAACATCACCATTTTAAATCCCATGGTTGAAAACATGTTTGGGATTTTGCCTTGAGTTTTTGGGTTGTCCCCCAGTTTGAGACACACCCGTATATAAGATTATATGTGGAATGGATTGCTGTTCTGGGATGTGTATTCTTCACCCACACATTTTGGAGGCATGGAATTTTGACCCATACCCTTACAGAGTGGTCAATGATTTGTTGCGATAGGCTCTTTCCTTCTTGGCGCTCTGTAACGCATTGAAGCCAAAGGGTGGTGGGCAGAGGTCAAAAATGAGCTGGAACAAATTTGTGGTTCACTTTGAAAGCCGCAGGACTTGTTTTGACCCCAACCCAACCTTTTTGAAAAAAACATCATTCGTCCCAGGAGCACTGACGAAGAGTTCAGGCGCCGGGGCATTGCCCCAGCCGTCTTTACAACCTCAGCCAGAGACTATCAAAAGTAGCTTGTCAGAGGGGAGGCCACTGGATCACTGTGCCCAACTGGTCGAACAGGTGGGTTTTCCTCGCAGGTGGAGATTTTGGAGCTTCAATTTTTGAAAACCAGATCCAAAATGATATTTTTTACATGATATTTGGGTTTATTTGGGTTAAATTCAGGATTGGTGCCACATTTTAGGCCATTTTTCTCCTGAGGCTCTCCGGGCTTTTGGATATGGCCGTGGATGGTCAACCTCAAGTCTGGTCAACTCTGAGGGTGACTTGACGATGTGGATAAGAGACAATTTCTGGGTGGAAGTGGGTGATGTCGGAAATCTTGAATTGATGGAGTTGGGTCGTTGGGTAATATTCGCTGATATTCCATTACCAGATGATACCAGATGCATCTTCGTTTTGGTGAGGACACAGAGATTCCTGACTTCCGACGTTGGATCCATGCTCAAGGGCAGAAGGCCCAGTTGGATGCTCTACAGAAGGCAGAAGATCTCCTGGCCTCAGCTTGTCGAAAACTGCAGGACAGGATGTCTTGAGCCTGGCCGAGTCGCAACTGATGTGGATTCCCAGGATGCCAGGAGGTCTTGACCTTTTATGACATATTACATCACATATATATATATATTAATCATATTATGACAGCAGCTTCTATTCAGTTCTATTCCAGATTCGTTGAAACTTTCAGAAATGGAGATCGAGATCGCTTTCTGAGGAGCAAGGCCACCTGGAGACGGTGCCATCTTGGGATCCTTCCAGCATCTTCGGAACTTTGAAGAAGATCAAAGAAAGCCAGGCTCGGAAATTGGACACCCACATTAAAAGCTGATTTGGTCCCCCAAAAATGTTGATCACATTTGCTGTCTATAAAACTAGATGGTTTTGTATCTAAGATAGTTTTCAATAGCTGCTTCTGTCTTGTAACCTTCCTGAACTGCTTTCTTTGAGAGTCTTGGCCAAGATGTTTTTTTGTCTCAATATTTTTTGAACACCGGATACAGGATGACATTCCCCCCAGTTTCAGTTATTGTATAGATGTGATTTTATTCATAACCCTATCTGACTATAGATATATTCACCATAATTCCATTCGTTAACACACTTGCAAAGCAGCGTAGCTATCATAAATCATGTATGAATCTTAGTTACATTACCATACATTACCCATGTTTGGTGGATTTCAACCCATTTGTTGGAGGAATATGCTACAGTTGCCAGGCCGAAATCATGCGCACGTTGCTGACGCAGAAGCTCATGAGCGCCGTGGGTGTGGGTCAGACGACAGCAGCAGAGGAAGGCGCGAGAAATATGTCAGCGCGCTGTGAGCCACAAGGCGCCGCATTGGGAACACTCTTCCAGTTGATGCGAATTCATGAGACATGTTGGCATGTTCTGAGTATGACAGTGTCCACAGTTTAAACTGAGCAGCTCAGAGCATTCATCACGATTTGTATCAATTTACCGTATCGATCCATATCAGATTTTCAGACCTGGCCTGGGGTTCACCTGCTGCAGGTAGAGGTGGTCTGCACTGGTGTACCTTCAAGGCAACCTGCAGACGCGAGGGTGAGTGGCGAGAAGACTTTAACGAACTCTTGGCTGATCCGCTGAACCGCAGAATCGCGGTGGAATGGGACCGGGTTTTGAATCAGCTTCTACCAGATCACGTGGACACTTTGCTGAGTCGAATCGTACAAGAAACTTGGTTTAGAAGAGGTTCTATCCTGCTGAGTCAGAAACAAAATGCGGTTCTTGCAAGAGTTTGAACGCCCAACAACGACAAACACCAAGTGAAGTGTTTGTAAGGCCTGCATGAATAGGACAGGGTAGGAATTGTTTGTTCTGAATTTATCATTCACTTACTTGGGTTTCTTAGATTCTTTTGTTTGTTCGGTTTGGCTTTTGAACTCTGCTCAAGGAAATGTGGAAACTGCAGAGCGAACTGAGCCTGCCGCTTCAGCCCTTCCAAGATGCAGAGGAACTTGTGAAGAGGACTGGCAGATGTCTTGTCCTGCTGTTGTGTAGGGTAAACCTAACGCCATAAACAATCTCCAATGACTTGCCAGACTTAGGTGGTACAAAGCATCCGTGGTTCATTATTGCGTTTACTACTGTGAGTCCCTGAGATTCTGATGTTGCCACACCCAACTTGTCTGGAGGCATGGCCCAAAGATTAAAAGTAATCTGCAAAGGCAGCAGATGGAGGTCTCGAGAAGGAAACTTGGCATTTCTCTTCAGCAAAGCTTGGGATGAAATGGACCTGAAATCACATAAAACATCAATAAACTATAAACAAACGGCCTGAAAGTGCACCAGTTCATGGCACTTGACAGTCTTCTGGCTAGAGAAACGAACAGCATTTTATAGGGAGCATTCATCAAAGTTTTTGACTTCTCACCCCTTTGCCCCCTCCACAACATTTTATTCACATGTAGAAACTTTACCCGCACTGTTTGGTTCATTTTTGATTTTCAAACATGCTCTGAAACAGTTGAATCAATCCTGACAACAGTTTTCTCAATGTGCTTGGTGCGCCGCGATATTTTGAACTGCTGCAAAGTCAGCCTTCACAGCGGTGACGAGGATCAAAGAGACCATCAAGCAGCTGATGACCCCATCCTACCGACAAGCTGCTGCCGTGTCTGGCACAGGAACAGATGTGAAACAGAAAACCATTATTCGCGACCAAGTGACTATCAGAGGCGCTGTCATGTTCCGAAAAGCATCGGACTTTCTTGACGGGGAGTTGGACAACCTCATGAGTAGCTTGGCCATTTGCAGTGATGAGCGCATAGTATGGTGATAGGTCCATGGCGTGCAAGTTCATATTGCAGGAGAAACACTTGAACATAATGCCGTCAAGAAAAGATTTGAAAGAGGGACGGCAGAGAATGAAAGACAAGACATGAAAAGAAGCAATATAGCACCCACGAATACCCACGATACGTCCGGTTGTGCTCCAGTTCGCAGGGTCCAACCGCTGCAACCCAGACATATGCACAGATATCAAGACAAAGTCATCACAAGTGAAGCTGCAAGCCCAACTTGCAGCCCACAGAGCCTCCACTTTCACTTTCAGGCGGACCTTTTGAGCTTTTAGGTAAAGAGAAAGAAATGAGAATAGATGGGGATGTAACCCATACTTCGAACAGAACCAATAAGTTGGTTTGGCTTACCCATTAACCTGTGGATTTAATGGGGAATCCATTGGTAATCCATTGGTCTATGGGGTATCCATGGGTAATCCATGGGTAATCCATGGTTTTTCTAGGTTGATCACTGAGGATGTCTGGAGCAGAGCCTGGAGGCTTTGGTGGAAAGCCTGGCATCGGTCTTGAAGGCTTCGATGCAGCGAATGGCTGCTGTGGGCCTCGAACGCCAGGCAGGGCGCAGGGGACGCTGTGGAAAAGGGCGCAGGCTGTGGAAACAAATCACCACTGGGCCACTGGGTGATATTTTCATCACCACTGGTAATCACTGGTATATATATACATATATTATAATAGATGTATAAAGAATAAGTGGAGATTCATTTCGCAGACATTTTTCCCTGACTTGGAAGTTTCCTGTGATGAACAGTGCAACCAGTCGCAGGCTTTGCGTGAGCTGCAGCAAGCCTGCAGCGCTGCTGTGTCCGAGGCCTTGTTGAAGAGCGAGGCGCGTCCCGAACATCCGGCTGCATGGAGATGGCGATCCGTCCATTTCCCCAATGATCTTCATACTTGTAGTTTCTCATATAGATTTTAATGTATTTTATAATAAGCATCAACGTGTATGATAGTATGTTACAGTCATAGATACATATCATTTAGATGGTTCAATATGGTTTCCGTTCACGAGCCTAGCCATGTGTGGTTCACGAAATGGTACCCAGCAATTCATTGGCGGTGCTGCTTTCGCTTGGGTTCCGATTCCCGGCTGCAGGAGCGGCAGCGTCGTCGCAATGCCTTGGATTATTCGGCAGCTGAAGCAGAAGTGGCAGGCAAGCCACAGTGCCTCGAATGAGAAATCGAGCTGCTTGAAAGAGATGCAACCGAACAATACCGAACAGACATGATCACATAGTTGTAAACTAAGTTGTAAACTATGGTAGATCTGTAAATTCTTTCATTTCATCAGCCTTGCCACTTTGGGTGTCAACGTGAGAAGCTACAGCAGCAACTGGCTAGCTAGGCGAACATCAGAAGCAAAACTAGGCGAATCTGATTGAACGGCAGTTTGGGGAGTGGAAAACCAGGGTGCCAGAATCTTAAACGATATCTTACTAATATGAACTATTTGAAGCGTCAAGTGGTCAACCTTGCAGCAGATCAAGCAGCAGAAGGGCTTCCCTGGGCAACTTACCGAGGCCCACTGGGAATTCCCAAGCTCCATCCTCAAAGGAGGCGATTCCAAACGAATATTTCTGCCCGATCTCCCAGGAGGACACGGGGCTATTGGGATCTCGAAAATGTCCTGGCCATCTGTTGAAATCACATGACAAAAGGAATTTTTCACACAGCTCTGCAATGAACCCCTTGAGATCATATGACAACTATATGACAACTATATGACACATATGACACATATGACACATATGACACATATGACACATATGACACATATTATCATAATATGATAACCAACATTTTGCTCAGCTGTGCAGGTCATGCTGGATCCTGTGACGACAAGCGATGGACATACCTACGACAGAAAATCTATCGAGGAGTGGCTGCGGACCAACGATACTTCTCCGAACACAGGCTGGAAAGGGTAGGGAGCTTGTCGAATCTTCGGAAGTCACGCAGTGTTGAGGCAGTGCCGTCATGGTGCACGACCGTGGACTCTAGTTGTGGGAGCTTACAGCACATTACAACCCCCGCATATCGTATCTTTGGCGGTAGATGATGGTCGTCCCTTTCAAGAAAAATTGAAAGGACAGAAAGGACATTGCACAGGTTCCGCCTGGGGTTGTGCTCGAGCAAGTGCGGAAATGCAGACAGCTAGGGCCAGGTTTAAATCGCATCATGGCTGAAGGTGTTGTTTCTTGCATTGTTTGCTGCCAGTGTTGCTGTCGGTACCACTATTTTGCTGAACGGTCCCATGGTGCTGAGTTTGTGACGTGAGGGAAGAAGTTTGGACGTCTTTTGCAGTTAAACCATTGCAAAATCCTGACGTGGCCAGGTCAAGCAACAATACTTGTACTCTAACTGGACGCCTGTCTTCTTACAGTACCCCAAATTGTGCGCAGTGCAGACAGAGGGTTCAAAACTGCCAGTGCCGCAGGTTTGACGCTGTCCAGCAAGACCCTCATCCCCAACCACAATCTGAGAAAGCTGATCCAGGTGGAGCACAAAGCAGCTTCACTTTGGGCCGACTATGGCCAGCCCAAAGCTGGATGGCTCAATACGAGAAAGAAACAAATTTCTGGGCCCATTCAGCTCCCAATAATTGAGCCGTGCACACATGTTGGCTTGGTGTGATCGGTGCCAGGAGCAAGTGCAAGCAGCTGGCAGTCAAGTGCCGCAAGATTCGTTGGAAATGGAGCTGGAAGCAATGATGAGCAACATGGAGCCAACCGCAGAAGCACCGCCAGAAGGCAGATCGCGAGTCAACGCGCAGTCCCGTTGGCAATGGAAGGTTTTCCCAAGGGGCCCAAGAGGAGTGCTTGTTGGGTTTCAATCTTGGGCCCAAAGGCCGCAAAAGATCCAGTCACATCCCAACCAAAGGTTGCAGTTGCCAAGTTTACTTGATGTGAAAGCGTTGCTGGGGCGTCGCAATGTCACTGGTTTGAGCATTTGGACCTTTGGTTCAAACCTGCTTGTGCTGGAGTTTCTAAGTTTCTACCGGCAGGCGAAGATCCTGATCAGGATGCCGAAGAGGAGTCCGAAGAAAAAGGTGCGGTGACATTTTTGACTATTGAAGGGAACAGTTAAGTAAAAAAGCTGTACCAAACTGAAAAAATGTCAATGTCTCTGGGCAGTTTTTGTATTTGAGGAGTTTTTCCTTAGGACACACGTCATTGATGAGACGTGGTGAGAGACTGATGAAATCGAAGAAACAGTTGGAATTTGAGACGGAGGTAAACTTTCTCGAAGTCTTCAAAGTTTGTTTGTCAGATTAAGTACGGCAACAGGACATAAGATGACATAACCTGCCGAAAGTCTTTGTTCAACCACATGCCTTTGTTTGTGCAGTCCTATGTTGGAAGATCCTCTCCTAACCAAAGGTTGCAGTTGCCAAGTTTACTTGATGTGAAAGCGTTGCTGGGGCGTCGCAATGTCACTGGTTTGAGCATTTGGACCTTTGGTTCAAACCTGCTTGTGCTGGAGTTTCTAAGTTTCTACCGGCAGGCGAAGATCCTGATCAGGATGCCGAAGAGGAGTCCGAAGAAAAAGGTGCGGTGACATTTTTGACTATTGAAGGGAACAGTTAAGTAAAAAAGCTGTACCAAACTGAAAAAATGTCAATGTCTCTGGGCAGTTTTTGTATTTGAGGAGTTTTTCCTTAGGACACACGTCATTGATGAGACGTGGTGAGAGACTGATGAAATCGAAGAAACAGTTGGAATTTGAGACGGAGGTAAACTTTCTCGAAGTCTTCAAAGTTTGTTTGTCAGATTAAGTACGGCAACAGGACATAAGATGACATAACCTGCCGAAAGTCTTTGTTCAACCACATGCCTTTGTTTGTGCAGTCCTATGTTGGAAGATCCTCTCCTAACCAAAGGTTGCAGTTGCCAAGTTTACTTGATGTGAAAGCGTTGCTGGGGCGTCGCAATGTCACTGGTTTGAGCATTTGGACCTTTGGTTCAAACCTGCTTCTGCTGGAGTTTCTAAGTTTCTACCGGCAGGCGAAGATCCTGATCAGGATGCCGAAGAGGAGTCCGAAGAAGAAGGTGCGGTGACATTTTTGACTATTGAAGGGAAAAGTTATGTAAAAAAGCTGTACCAAACTGAAAAAATGTCAATGTCTCTGGGCAGTTTTTGTATTTTAGGAGTTTTTCCTTAGGACACACGTAATTGATGAGACGTGGTGAGAGACTGATGAAATCGAAGAAACAGTTGGAATTTGAGACGGAGGTAAACTTTCTCGAAGTCTTCAAAGTTTGTTTGTCAGATTAAGTACGGCAACAGGACACAAGATGACATAACCTGCCGAAAGTCTTTGTTCAACCACATGCCTTTGTTTGTGCAGTCCTATGTTGGAAGATCCTCTCCTAACCAAAGGTTGCAGTTGCCAAGTTTACTTGATGTGAAAGCGTTGCTGGGGCGTCGCAATGTCACTGGTTTGAGCATTTGGACCTTTGGTTCAAACCTGCTTCTGCTGGAGTTTCTAAGTTTTTACCGGCAGGCGAAGATCCTGATCAGGATGCCGAAGAGGAGTCCGAAGAAGAAGGTGCGGTGACATTTTTGACTATTGAAGGGAAAAGTTATGTAAAAAAGCTGTACCAAACTGAAAAAATGTCAATGTCTCTGGGCAGTTTTTGTATTTGAGGAGTTTTTCTTTAGGACACACGTCATTGATGAGAGATGGTGAAAAAGACTCAGATATTGTTCTTGGTTTCAGGAACCGCTTGGAAGTTTAGATGAAGGTGACCTTTCTTTGAACCTTCTCCTTGTGGCATTGGGTTTGTTGTCTTAGCAAGGTATTTGGGAAACTTTTGCTCAGCCAGATTGGAAAAGATTATGTGTCAGCTAAATGTTGAGGCGGCCAAGTCTTCTCTTTGGAGTTAGCTGCAGAGGAACAAGGTGTGGTGTTTTTTTTTTTTCGCTTGATATCTGTCAGTTAGCTTCGTGACCAACCGCATTTTCAACATGAGATTGAAGAACACAGCTGGTGGAGCTTGGGGTTTGTTTGTAGCGTCAGGAATACATGGCACCACCGGCATGCTTTTCACGAGAGAAAAGTAAGAGAAAATGCGCCGAGGAAAACCTGAGATGGCAGAGATGGATGGTATTTCCAATGTGCCAACCACACCTGGCTCGCACACGCGCAGCTCACCTCACTCCGGGAGTTCCATGAGTCCCAGCAGCGTCCCAGGGGTCCCCAGCCCACCGGCCCCACCGGCCCCACTGGGCCCACCGGGCTTGGATGGCTCTCGAAACGATCGCAGGCTGCGACGTATGTCCTCATGGCTGCGCAAACGCCTGTGGAAGGGTCGATCCTAGACATGTAGCAGCCACAGGGATGGGTTGAAATTGAAGTTCAGTTGAAATGATAGTAGAATCATATCAAACCATGATGAAGATCACACAAATAGTAATTTGAATGGTAGTTGATGTGCAGTTTGGTCATTTTTTAGAGCATGAAGATTGATTTGGACCCACGCCCGTTTTATTGTTTAGCAGCTTGCGTAGCTGCGCTGATTTGTACAGGAGGGAAAACTAGAACCTTCAAAGAGCATGAGATGCGAGTTCCTGGGGCCTCCACTCATGCCGAGGGCAGAGCTTGCTGCGGCAGTGTGAGAAAAAGAGGGACTTGACTGCGACATACTGCGACTGTTTTTTACTTTTTCAATATTTTTCACTGACAGCGTCCTCTGTCCATGGGGCATGAAGGCACAACTAAAATGTGCAAGCATCGTTTCTGTTTTGTCTTGCGAACATGAGGGAAGTGCAGGTTTGCCTTGTTTTTGATGTACGAAATGACAAGCCTGTTTCAACCACATGCGAAGAGATCTATAACCTTCGTGACATGAGTTGGTTCTGCCAGGTTTTACATTGTTACATCTTTCCACCGCAGAGTTTTAGCTCTTGGAAGGCTCCCTTGGCCTGTTTTACCCCACGTGTTATGGCAGATATTGAGAACGTGCGGTCCAAAAGCACGGAACAGCATAAACTTTTGCGCAAGGACTGCATTACAAAACAGTTTCCTTTTTTTTGCTTCATGAGTCTTGATAACTACTCAGCTGGAGTTTCTTTGGAAACAAAGCACGATAAAAGTAACAAATGCCAGTGAACAGGATTGGATTCCTTAAAGATGCAAAGATGGTCTTCCAAGTGTTTCAACCCTAGACCTTCACTTTGCACCCCCCCCCATATTGGTTTGGCTGCTGATTCAATCAGATAGTCCCGGACGGGTGGCTCCAATCCATCAAACCTCCGGCGAGGACACGATTCACGTGCTTGGGACGGAAGTCTTGCGAAACGATAAGTGGCTCGGCATTTTTTGGCCTTGGGTTTGCCAGTGAATGGGCTCAGGAAATGTGGAGACATGTGAAGACCATAGAAAAACTCAGTGATCCCAAGTTCGAGATTTGGTTTGTACTGGATATGTGTTCTGTCGAAAATCACTGGTGGTGAGAGCTTGTACTTGGAATTAACCCACTTACACCTGAAGTTTGCTTCTAGCAATTTCCAGAGGCCAAGGCATCATTCAGAAAAAATGTGGATCCAAGTCACTTCAAGAAGGACCCTGTAGGTTTCCAAAATCATATATATCCTAAATCAAAGAGCCACAAAAATCAAGACCTGAATGACCTCTTCTGAGCCTGCGAAGACCTTAGAACCAGTAGGTGAAAAGATGTGCGGCAGCCTTCTCATTTGCATTGAGGGTTTCAGTTGCACCGAAGTTCCCAGTTGTAAATGGAGGTTTCCTCATGTTTCCTCCCTAAAATGGGGGTTACTCCCAAATCATCCAAGTCCTGGACCATTTGAGTATCCCATGGTGACGACTGGGGATTCCCCATGCAACAAATCGGCCGAGGGACCATCTCTATGTCCGGAGCCACGGTCACCATGACAAGTTCGGAAGAGTGATGCATGATTTTGGTTCATTTGGGTCCTGAAAATGGGGTAAACATGTCTGTATCCCCCCAAATTGCATGTTGTTTGGGGAAAATGATGTTAAACTGGTAAACTATTTTTTTTTGGGACCCTATTTTCAGACAAACCCATTTTGGGTTGTCTGAAAATACACTTGATGTTTTCTCTTGACTTTTGCCATAACAACAACAATCCATGCTTGCCATCAACTTATCATTCCTGTGTATCACAAGAACCAATTCAGGAACTTCATGAATCAGTTTGATGGCACGATATTTCACATGGCCCCGTAGCGTAAAGTTGATAGCACTCACCCTGTCCATTTTTATTTGAGGGGGTTACAAACAAATCACGTGTAGCAGCCGGCAGATTTTTTAGGCTTTGGCCGGAGGCCGAGCAGCGTGGCCTGAGGCAATAGTGTTCCCCATCCGAGTGCCAGGTGGGGCAAAAACTGAATCTGGTGGATGGTGCAATGAATACATGTCCTATGTTTTTTTTTTGACTATTTTTACTGTGAATGAATTGTAACTCTTTTGGAACTCACCTAAAACATTGTTAACTCCTACCTATCTGGTGAATGTGAGTTTGATAGGCATCTTTGGAAAGAACTCTGATAGAGGTTGAAAGTCTCCCAACATTTACTTGACTCGGCTAGTGATTATCATGGGTTTATCCACAGCTTGTTGCAACCATATTAGGCACCAGAGCTGACCATCTTTACCCAACTGTTTGCCCAGGCCTGGTCTGTTGGCACGCCTTGTTCAGGTGAAAATGACGAACAGTTCAATGAGATCGTGCCAGATGCTGAAGAAAGATGGAAGGCCTCAAGTCGATGCACTGAGCTGTCGCTTCAAATCATTTTGAAGCATGGCTTTGTCCAAGAAATGGGGCATTTTCCGCAGATTCTCACTTTGGGATATCTGATTTCGCACATTTCTGGGCAAATGTATATCAATGTGGTCGTTTTGTTGCGGGCAAATCTGGGAAATGACCTTGTCCAAGCGACAACCGAGGGGGGCCTGACAGAAACGGCTGGTCCACTAAGATTGGTTCTGCAAGCCCAAGCCTTTGAGGGGTAGAAAGCCAACAGTTACCTGATACTCTCCTCCTACAGAGAATTCCAATGGGTGAAACAAAATTGGTGATAGTCCACCAATGTCCACCACAAGGACTATACAGGGCTGCCGGCACATGGCAAATAGTTGCCGTGCTTATTCTCTCCCTCAAGTACAGTCGGCATAAGTATATTCTCCTTGCCATTATCCTTTCTAGAATTCTGCATTTTTGAAGGGAAAGCTGAAGCTCAACAGCCACAACTAATTGAATCATGAACTGGGCAAAGGATCACTCTGTGGCACGTTTGTCGAGATGTTGAGATGATGGGATGGATATGCGATATGCAAACGCTTTGGCAAGACGGTACCTCAGATTCTCAACCGAACCTAAGGAGAACCAGAGGATGTCTGCAAATTCACTTTGGGACTTTAGATCTTACTTTGGAGTTCTAAACATTCTAAAGACACGGCTTTGATTCGCAAAGCATTGTGATTGTGTGTCTTTGTCCCAAAAAGTGTCTTCTCAGAGAATCTTCCAGGTTTTACCTGTCGCAGCATGTTGCACCGATTGCGCAGGAACTCTTCCCGACCGAAGCAGATGATCCCATGGACAAAATGAAAGCATCCACAGGGGTCACCTGGGAGGCAAGGTCTGCGGTGAAAATTCAGCTGTTTTGGTTTTCAAGAAAACATTATAGACATGATGTGAATGATGTGACATATATGTCAAAAAATGCATTTGTATAGAATTCAACATGGGGTTTCCTGGCAAAAACTATCTTTTCCTTTGAAGACCTGGGGGTATTTGATTTTTGGACACACCCCTTGACCTAGCTGGTGATTGTCTTACGAACCTCTTGTGTGGAAGAGTCATGAGGAGTCAACATGGAAGCCAAGGATTACTGGGGTCTGCAACTGATGATGTCGAAATGGGCATCTTGGTAACACCTTTTCACTGCTTCCATAGCTTCCCTTGTGCAGGCATTTTGAAACAGACCTGGCATTCCCTTTTTCTTGAGAGTGATATAGACTTTGGTTGTTTCTTCCAATGATCCAGCTGTCAACTTGTCTCTGGTGTCCCTGGGACACTGCATGGCAGACCTTTACCAGAGAAGTGCGCGAGAACGTGGTGAAATACATAGGCATTGTGGCGAACGGAAAGGGCGTGAAAACTGCATGATTTGAAACATTTCAGCCCATGCAGTGAACACTGGTTTTTTGAGGTTTCTGAAGTTTCAATGCGTGGCAGAACACTTTAATCCTAAGATCTCACCAAAAGGCATCAAAAGAGGCACTTTAGCGGAAATAACTCATGGAAGCTGCTGTGTTTTGGCCTATTACAGATCACCTCGTGGTAAATGGATGACTGGATGACCGTGTCCTTATCTCGAATGGTTTACAGCTGAAGCAACAATCTTTCTGCAAACAAGATGGTTTTTCATTCCAAGATTTGCAAAGTGAGCCCCAACTCAGTTGGAAAGGATCCCAACTGCTTAGCAAATCCCAGCCGTGCACAGGTTGGCTTGGATGTGAAGTCCTTTGGCTAAAACGGGAATGGCGGCACCGGGTGAGCCATACCTGTTCGAGTGGAGCCGAACTGATCCACCTGTCTGCAGCATCTCAAAATCCCACACGATGGTCAACTTCATTTGGAAAACCAGGATAATCATAGGATAATCATAGGATAATCATCTGATGATGATCTATGAATGTTGTAAATCCGCTTCTTTCCTGTGGTTCATTTCACGTCCTTCCCGTTGCCCACCTTGAGGTGACAGAGTTCAAGAGTGTGGACGAGGATGAGATCTTCGTGCTGTTTGGCATGAAGGCTCTGCAAAATGCCAGGTGTGTTGATGAACAGCAGAAAATACCCTTGTTGCTTGGTGGGTTATGATTACAATATATTCCAATACTACCTGCTTCATGCGGAATAATTATAGTCCACAATAGGGATGGCCATTGATGGCAATCCAGCATTCAGCTGCTTGAGACGAATCTGTAGAATTGGTGGTGAAGCACTGCCAGGAGTTCCTCCTGTTCAGTCTCAGGTCCCAAATCACCATCCACTCAGAAAAAAAGCTGTGCGCTGGGACCTGACAGGATCAAAAGAACCTGAAAAGGTTCCTTGTTGAAGAAGAGGCGTGGCCGTGGCGCCGTGGCGGCTTTGGTCAGCTTTCTCATTCTCACGGGGTATTGGGACTATCCGGAAGCATTGCTGGTATTTGAAGTGGAGATCATCTTCGTTTTCAGTGCAGCCCAACTCAATGGAGAATTTGTGGGGGTTCGAAAGGATGTCTCAAGAATGCTCATACCTACCCTGTTTCTCATTCTCAAAATGATTTATGTACCATGTGCGTAATTGATACCCCATGTGAGGTGGCAGTGCTTAGTTCCAGGACCCCCCTCAAGTGCAACCATACAACAGCAGTCGTATCTCAGAGTGTAAACACAAGTGCAAAGAAAGGCAACCAAGTTACTTGGATCAGGTTCACTCGAGAAAAGTTGCTTGCAATTGGTTTATAATGATGCCTACACCTGTTGCTTTACAGTGTCATATGTGTTTGCAGCCTGCATGTTGATTTCCCACTTGCCTCCATGACAGGCGAGGGTGAGGATGAAACCTGAAGCCTACGAGTGGCACAAATTCCAGTGTCCCACCGACAAAAAAGTTGGAAAGGCGGGAGCCTCAATGACCAACGGGTGAACCGAGAGGTTTGGTGGATATGGATGGGTCAACACTTGCCTTCTGAATTCATTGGCCTGGCAAAATCACTTCCGAAGTTTAATTAGTCACAGATGTTCTCAACGTGTCCCAGCAGGTCTTATGATTGACCCAGTTTCTGTGAGCGAGTGGGCGACTGTGAGTTGCATTGGTGATTTGACCCACCGGACTGTTGGATCAACATTTGACCCATCCCGAATTTACCAATGCCACACTGTGCCACATGATTCTTCAACATTTTTGAAACAACTCAACTGAGCCAGTTAAACTTCGTCTGTTCTGTTGCTCAGTGTGAGCGATTGCATGGTTCTTCATCTTGAGATTGACAGTTGGACGTGGGACAATTTGGCCGCCAAGGACTTTGTGAGGGAAATTGAGACTGATCACTACACCCTAAGGGGCAGGGATCACTACAACGACTATCCTGCCTTCGTCCGGGAACTCAGTGAGCTTTGTACTTGCCCAATGGCAGCTGCAGCTACAGCTGGCGAAACATCGCAATCCATAGCCCTAAACATTGACCTACCATGAAACCGGCATTCCCCTGTCTTTTTTCAGGTTTGGTGTCAATATGTTACCTGGTATCGTTTGCCAGTTGTTTGACGTTGGAACCTTGGAAGAGAGCATAGTGACTATGTGGTCTTATCTGGCTTTGTCCAGGGGGTATACCCTTAAAGATGACTATCTCAATGGGGCAACTGAAGACAACGACGGGATCAAATTGATCATATTTCAAATCCCTGGATCAACGGCAGGTGCGCTACACCCCTGAGATCGACGAGATTGTCGAGGTGAAGAGTCAAGCTGTGCTTCTAATGGATCATTTTTGGGTAATCGGCAATGGAACATGAATGAATTCCATCAAACATATGGAGGTTTCCTAAAATGGGAGTACCCCCACATCATCCATTTTAATAGGATTTTCCATTGTAAACCATCATTTATGGAAACCCCCATATCTAGATATTATCATCTATGACATTTGAACGATGATTTCCTGTAACGGGGATTGGAGTTGATTATCCCATCTGGAAGGGACAATTGCAGTGAGTTGATACCGTAGGGAGAACCCCAAGATGACAGCTTTTAACCATCACAGCACATCGGAAACACGCTGGCATAGGCTGGCGGATTCTCAGGTAAAGTCTCAATTCATAAGTCATACCTTCATATATCTTCCACATCTACAGAATCCATAGAATCCCATCTATTTTCGCTGATTTTCCATCTTTTCCCTCGGTGTTGTCGTGGCACTGGCAGTTCCACGCCACGCAGGACGTGGAGGAGACGGAGATGTTGCGGATCCTGCGTCACGCCTTGCGTAAGTACTGTAGGGTGCAGCTCATGGAGCAGGTGACCCTTGGTGGTGGGAGTTCGTTGTCCCATGATTTTCATGGTGGTTGGTATAACACGAACCATAGTGGGGATACTGTTGGTAAAGCAATGGGATCCACAACCCCCCAAATTTACCATAAATGGGTGATATGACTCATCAAAATATGGCTAGCGGCTAGAGAATTATTGCATTTATTGACATTGGTGATATATGATGATTGTGATGGGGGATACATGATTGTCCCAAAACTGGGGGAGATCCCCGAATGGATGGACGCTTTCATCCATGGTCAAGTTTGGGGCGAAGCCATATCATCCCCATGGGGATAAACCCTGATGTAAATGGGCTACATAACCTGAACTTCTTTGACATTTGAGGCGCCGGAATTCTTTGAGTTACTGAAAGTCGTGGTGTTTCCACATCATAAAAAGAGGAGGCGCACTGATCAAGTTGCCTGTGATTTTTGCCCATTTTCCGAACAGGTGGGCGTTGTTCGGCTCTTCTTCCCAATTCACAAGTGGGAGGAGCTTCAGGAGCTCTACAAGCCGCTGATCGAAATGCTGAACAGTGGCTGCTAAACCATCCCCATGTTGGTTGATGATAGGAAGTTATGCTAATTATAGGGGATTGTCATAGTAAATGAGTTGGGAATCCCGTTCAACCAAGCAGTATGGGAATCTATTAACCTACATTGGAGATTTCTTGAACCTGGACGTTTGACCAGGGTCCAGCATGAAACATTTTGCATTGATAAAGTTTAGTTTGAGACACTTACAGTAGATTATCAGATAATCTTGCTGGAACAACTTTCCCAATAAATCACCCTACTAGATTGAACCCCTTGTCTGTTTGGCAACTCCACCTACCCTTCGGCAATCATCTTGGCGAGAGATTTCATGAAATCCCATAATCTTTCAGGAAGTGAGGATCATCAACATTCTACAAATTCTACAAATTCTACAATTGAACATCAGGCAAGTTTCAATTGCCAGGATACCCTCTGGTAAACGTTTACATAACTATGGAAAATCACCATGCTATTAATGGGAAAATCCACTATTTCTATGGTCATTTTCAATAGCTACGTTAAATTACCAGAGGGTAGACTACCTGACTACCACAATGCCTGAGGCGGGGATGGAACGATCCTTCCAAACCGGTGTACTACCCAAAGGCCATGCTGGGGACGGTGGGGATATCACATGCCGAGCCATGAACACAACAACCGATAGTCGGTTGTAAGTGATTCTACCTGGTTCAATGGGGATAACAAAGTGATAGCAACCCATGATAGATATGATAGGAATATTTGCTAAACAAGCAGGATAATGTGATCTCCTGCTTACTCAGATTGCAGTCGGAAAGAAAGGTGGTGGTTGGGTATCCTCCCCAATCTTGAGAAAAGATAGAGTGCAAGCTTCATGGCATCTATTCTCGCCCTGGCAAGTCACGAATATGGGACGTGGCCCAGTGGAAAGCGGTTGAGGTTCCCAAAGGTCATAGGTTTCTGATGCAGTTAGGATATTCAATCTGTGAACCAGCCACAGGTGCACTGCTTCAAGTACTAACCCTGAGACATTTTTTATTGGTCACTGATGCCGCTGATGCCAATATCTTGCAAAGAAGAATCCGTGGGAGGCCGCTGAGAAAAGTTTCCTCGGCTGAGGCCCACATGCCGGACCATGTGGCCGAGTACTTTGGTGCCCACGTGGCCAGCTACTTCCACTTTTACAACACCTTGACCAGGTGCAGCGATGAACGGAGTGGGCCAGGGCGGGTCGCGCTTGGATTTGGGTTCAATCTGAGATTGGAAGAATGGGGTGCAAAACAATAAACTCACTAAACCAAGTTCCTCTTGACAAGTCCGATCCGGATCGACTGCAGGTGGCTGATTATACCGGGACTCATCAGCGTGATCTTTCCCTTCGTTCGAGTCCATTTTGGTCCCGAAAAGGCCGCACTGAGTGGGCCGCGAGCACCAAACTGTGCGGCTTTGATCTATGCGGGCCCTGCTCTATGGTACTGGAGTTCTAGGGGGAGAGTTTGGGGGACCCTGAAAAAAGGGTCAAAAAGTGTGACCAGTGAGGACCAACCGGAATTGAAAGCAACGGATTGGGAAACTCTTGAGGGATGCACTAGCATTTTTCTTACCTCAAATTTAAGGGGTCAGGAATTATGGTAGTGGTGATTTGTCAGCTGTTGAGGATATTGAGGATATTTTAAGCCCTGCCCTCAGAATCTTCCGGGAGTTGGAACCACTGAGCCCCATTCTGTCGGGTTTGTTTGGCATGTATGAGCAAAATCCCATGAAAATCCGTAAAATCCTTTCGCCAGCCAACTTTGACGGCCCGCTGAGAGAGGCTCACTTTCTAGACAGTGGTTTTGGACTGATGATGTGCTTGTGGACCACAATCTTCCTGGTCCTTTGGCTGGTGTGCCATGGTAGGTCAAGCAGGTAGGAAACCGGGAACCAGGTGGAACCAGGTCATGGAGAACCACTCCTGGGTCCCAAGATGTCCCAAGTCACAGTTCTTTTTGACCAGATTTTCTTACCAGTCTTTGGTTTTCTTGGGTGCGAGTTGCTGGAATCTGGCGGCAGTAGCGCCGAGGCACACAACAAGCACAGCCTCAATGTGAAGCTCTTGAAATGGGGCATGGGTGGCAACGTGAGCGCGGTGACCATAGCCACTTGCCATAGATTCTGGTGGGACGCAGAGCACTTGGTTGCCCAGTTTGGTTCTACTACATCACTGATCATCACTACATGGTAAGATGATGTTTGGGCTGTCCATGGCTTAGGTGAGAAAAAACTTCAAGGACGCTGGGAAAACGTGTCGGAAAGCGAAACCAGTCGCTTCGCTGTGCCTTTTGCATTGCAAAAGCATGCTGGACTGCAACACTTAAGGCCGCAGACATACTTATTTTTGCAAGTTATATGAGTGATTGGAACATGTGTGATCGGATGATCTTTGCTGTGGCTTTGTCGAAGAGGTTACCCCTGAATTCCATGCTTCATCATCATTTTCCAGCATTGCCAATTCAGGGGATACTGCAGATACCCCATGTTCAGACACACCACTTTTTAGGACATAAGTGCCAGATGTGCCAGTGGTTTGTACTCGGCAGGACGAAAAACGTGGAACTTGGTTAGAAACCTGCCGTGGCCTGTTGCACTGGGTCACTTGGCGGAAATCGCTCGTGGCCAGATTAACCATGGGCTCATGGTTTACTGGATTTCCATGGGATTTCCATGGATTTCCACCATTTCTCCATGTATTTGTGCAATTTGAGACTGGGGAACAGTGTCACAACAGCTTCCATGTGTAGTCCACATCCCCAATAACTTGCACAACTTCCACAACTTGGAAACTTCACCAGCGATGGAGGATGCTTCTCAGCTCTGATCCAAGGTCCTGGTCATCACTTTCATCTCCGAGACCATTTTTGTTTCCCGGTGGATTGTGCAGTATCGACAGCAGGTGGGATGTCATCGTGGCGGTCATGGGCAAAAAATGAGCCGGGACTAATTTCATGATTTTTCCAGAGGTTGAGAATGTATTGCACATTTGAGTTCAAAAAGCCGGATTTACAGTGATTTACAGGTAGATCTGGGATACTTTTCAGTCCTCAAGACCTCGTTTGCCCAAGATGGGCTGTTGGTACCATTTTTGGCCACGAGCACCGGACTGCAGCCGTTGGCTGCCGTCAGATCTTCGATAACATCGATGGCACTACTTGGGGTATGAAGAATGTGGCCGGAGGGCTCAGCTGGCGATTCTCAGGGATCCAACCAATGACATCCGAGTCACATGAGTGACAGTGACTAACATGAGTGACTGGTGAATCAATGTGAATCTTGTTGGTTTGAAACTAGCGAGTCGAAGTTCGAAGCATACGAAGCATACTGCCATGCTCAAACATTGAGATTTCTGCCAGACAATGGGGAAATCATTTGAAGCACCAGCATATGGTGATCAGATGTGATCAGTGAATCATGACACATTGCAGCATCAGGTGCATCAGGTGCATCAGGTGCATCAGGTGCATCAGGTTCACGTCTGCAGTTTCAAAACATTTCAAAACAGTGTAGGGCTGCAATAACATGTTTTGGAAACATAGAAAAGTACAGAACGCTGGCCAAATTTGGCTTTCCAGGTCATGTTTGGCTTCTTCGTACACAAATTAAATCCAAAAGGTGCTGTGTCACCTTGCAAAACAAAACACTGAACAAATCTCAACTCATGCATTCCACGCTTTCAGCTTGAAAGGATCACACACACACACACAAACTGCGGTTCTTCCATAGGTCTTTCCATGGTGTCAAAATTGGTGATCATTTGACATCGGGTATGTTTTACACCATGTGCAACACGGTGTAAAACATATGTAATCCATGATGGTTCCCTGGGGTTCCCTTCAGACCGGGGATGACTGGCCGAGGATGTGGCGAAGTACTTCAAGTATTTGATCACTGCCAATATCAAAATCGTGGAGATGGTCTTTACCCCTTTGTCCCTTGGAAAACACACCAGTTTACGCAGACCTGATCCAATCCAAGATGTGAGGACTGACTTTCCCTGCATTTTCTGCAACCGAGGTCCATCTATTTGAGCAAACACGAGAACCACCGGACTGAAATGGACTTGAAGAATGCAATGATCTTGAAACTCTTCGCAGTGAAACTGGGCAAAATTTGGGTGTGGTGTCGCAAGAAAGTTCGAGGTTTCTTCAATAGCCATAGGGGCCATAAGTGATAACAACGAGCATGCGAACTATGACCTGCCGATGAACGATGGACCTACGGGTAGGTCCCACAAATTTTCCCTCCACAGTTGGGCGTTTCTTGTGAGGAAGCCATGATCTCAATGCAAAGGCCCTCCTCCCGAACCGGCAGTTTGTAGTTGTCACATTTCGGAGCCACAATCTATTGTAGATCTATATGCTATATACTGGCATATACTGGCTATATTTTCCCAGGTACTACTTGATCTGTGCCTAAAGGCCAATATACATTCATGAGACCTACATATAATATATACACACCGATTTGCTGAATACTAAATACTCCATACTCGTACAAGCACATATGGCCGAGCAAAAACCTGCAGCGTTGTCGTGTTTGACCTGCATCATATACCAAACCATTTTGGAGTATTGTTCAGAATTGTCAGACTCCAAGAGGAACTCGATTCACATTGTGTCCGCATTTCTATCATGACCCAGTTGGACTGATTAAAGTTTGATTTGGAAACTCAACCTCGTATTCAGAAACTACGCTTCAGAAACTCAACATTCAGAAATTATTTTTGGTCGTATTCAGAAACGACGCTTCAGGAACTCAACGTCGAATTTAGATTCCGTTTTTGTCTGAATTCACAAACTATTTGTCGGATGCAGAAACTATGCGGTCGTATTCAGAAACCATAACTATCTTGTCGTATTCAGAAACTATTTTGTCATATTCGGACCCGAATCCAGCCGGTCCCACAGTTCAGCAACTTTGGTGCCGAAAGTGCGGTTCCGCTTCGGTTCAGCAACTACGGTCAAGGATTAGGACTCATTTGGGATTTGTTTGAGGGTTGTTTTTTAGGGTTGGTTTAGGGTTTTGTTTATGTTTGTTTATGTAAAGTTTGTTTAGATTTATTTAGGGGGTTTGTTTAGGGTTTATCTCGGTAGTTTCCGGCTTTTGTGGTCTCAGTTTCTGAATACGCTGTTTGTAGTTTCGGAATGCAAGTTTCCGAATGCAACTCTCCAGTTTCCGAATGCAACTCCTAGTTTTCGAACGCAACTTTCGAGTTTCCGAATAATACAACTTTACAATTTCCGAATGCAGCTCCCAGTTTTCCCGAACAAGAGTTTCCCAGTACAGGTCGCCAGTTTCCCCATACAACCGTACTGGGCACATGTTGCCACATGTTGCCACATGTTGCCACATGTTGCCACATGTTGCCACATGTTGCCACATGTTGCCACATGTTGCCACATGTTGCCACATGTTGCCACATGTTGCCACATGTTGCCACATGTTGCCACATGTTGCCGGGTTCAATCTTGTCCGCACCGGGCCAGTGCTCTTATAACCATATCAATAGATGGCCCTCCATGTTGCTTATGAACCCTATTCTGTCTTGTGTACTACTCAAAAATAGTAGCTATTTGCCACAGGTATTCTAAAAAATTGAACCGGGGGCGGAGCTATCCTGAACCCAATGACCTGACCTAGCGGGGTGGGGGACAAAAGGATAAAATTCGATGGGGTCATCATAATCCAGAATGGAACCCGTTTTGAACCAACATCAATGAGTTCCGATCCGGAGAGCCACCCAAAAGTCGGATTCGAGTCGGTTTCGGGTTTCGGGTTTCGGGTTTCGGGTTTCGTCGATTGAAACCAACTTTCGCTGTTGGTTTCGGGTTTCGGGTTTCGGGTTTCGTCGCTTGAAACCAACTTTCGGGCTTCGGGTTTCGGGTTTCGGGTTTCGTCGATTGAAACCCACTTTCGCTGTCGGTTTCGGGTTTCGGGTTTCGGGTTTCGCAGTTCGAAACCAACTTTAACAGTCGGTTTCGAGTTTCGGGTTTCGGTTTTCGGGTTTCGATCGGCCCTGGGGAAGTTAAGTCTTCAGAGTCGGTTTCGGGTTTCGGTTTCGGGTTTCGCTGGTCGAAACCAACTCTGCAGACCTCTCTCCGGATCACGTCTCACATCAATCAACATCAAACAACCAGCTTCTGGCACGACAGACCCGTTCACCGTTCATTTTGTGGAATCATCTTGGGTTGCCGCGCGCTTTCAGGAAATTCGTCCTCTTCTACTACCCCTTCATCCGCCCGATCTTCATCCAGCCAATGGTGGAAGGATGCCCTGGTGCTGGTGCCAAAGCGGGAGATAATTTTGAAGGTGCGGATCGGGTTTTGTGATCTCCAGATCTCCACTGCAGCGATGAAATTGGGAACTTGTTCTTTGTGGTACCATGGTTGGCCCCTTAATACTTCAACACAGCGAAATGCATCATATTTGCCAATGGAACATGCAAGAGTTGCCGGGTTTTATTCTGAAGCATTCTGATCCCATCTTTGAAACCGCCTCAGGCTGCATCAATGACTTGAGACAAGATCTTCAAATCTTCTTCGTCACTCAGGCCTGCCATGTATTGATCCGAATGTCCGAGGCATTGCTCTGAAAAAATGTACCAACTGTTTAGCCACCTTTGATACTTGGTTAATGAAGCGATGAATGCCCCTTGACTGTTTGAGTGGATTGAGAACAACACCAACTAAGATTAGATTATGTACGGGCTTGCCGAGAAATGGGGGTCCCCCAAAATGTAATTCGACGTGGGAAAGTCATGATATAGTGATAAGCCACTGGATATTGTGGTATATGATTTTTGGGCGATTTGATGTTAACAGAGTTCTTCAGTCTTCACCATTCTCCTTCCAGACACTGCTCTTTTTCTGAGCAACCGCTGCTCAGTCTGAGCTCAGTGGCTCCTTTTTCTTGTAACCACCCTGATCGGAGCCTGAACTTTGTCAGCACGGTTGGGGTAGTCGACTCCTACAAGTATCCCAGGATATCCCAGGGGTGTTTCTCCGAAACCACCGAAACCATCTGAAAGCGTCAGGTGGTGTCAGCTGTTGGTGGCCTGTTGGCATCCGTGGGGCTGATGTTCTGGACCATCCGCAAAGAGGTGAAACGAAAGAAGAGCTCCTCAGATGGAAGGGAGATTTGGACCAACTTCTGGAGATTTCGTGGAATTCAATGGGATTTATATAATGAGATTTTACCAAGGAAAATGGACATGATACCCTCTGGTAATGACTAACAGTTTGCGAACTGGAAATGGCCAGTCTGGTTCGATGATTTGCCTTTTAAAAATGGTAATGTTCCACAGCTTTATTAAGCTACTCGAGGGTATGGGGCTGCACCTGATCCAAGAATTGTGATTTAGAGAGTGCTGGTATTTCACAATGCCAGTTCATAAGGGTTATGAAACAGGCATAATTGGCAATGGCCACTGCTTGTGGATGGGGCTTAGATTCTGAATGTGGGTGTTTTTTTTCTCCTGGGTGTTTGCTGTAGGAGCTGTGAGGGAAATAGGCTGATGTGGCCCTTCCTTTTGATGGAGGTTTCAGCCTTGTCAGGCAAACCCTGAGGTCTTGTGATCCGTACGGTACACCCGTTGAATCCTGGGTTGGTTGTTCTTATCTGGGACAGTCATGGCCAAGTCTGGTTTGTTTTTGTGGTTGCCCATGGTTGCCACAGTTCAATCCATTCCCACTGGTCGAAAGTGCTGGATTTTGAGGTTCAGAATCACTTCTGTCATATGTGGAGGTCCAGGCAGCGGTACTGCGTGCTCTGCATGCCCTATGACACCCTCATGCCCCAATGTTGTGGATGAATAACAACCTAGGAATGTCACTCTCCCATGATTTCTTTTTTAAAACCAAAGTGAGCACCACAAGAATTGACCTCTGGAACTTGGGTTCAGATTGATTTGATGAAGAAAGGGATAGGACCGGTTGACGGATGTTGCACTGATTTCAGTGGGTAAATCTCAGGTTCCTGGAATTAACGATGGTTGGAGCCCCAAAGTTTGTCTGAAAATATGACATCCCAAGTTCGACGAAAGCTTCATCAGTTTCCCTGCAGAAAGGCAACAAAACAAAATTGGGTAAAAGGGTAACACCACACTTTTCCGATACGGCCCTAAGACCATCCGTTTATAGAAACAGCCCATGCCCTGTCACTGTTGGCAAGGCCATGCTGTCGGATTACGATGAAGCGGCAGAAGTGTCTGACTACATGCAACTGGGACCCACAGATTTGGATGTTTTCATGGTGATCAAAAGCCTGGTAGGCTGATGAACATCAAAATAGCTGGGATTTATGGGTAGAACTGTGGAACAAAATAAGTACCTCACACAGTCCCTGCTTGAAAGGCAAGCAGTCCTGAACTTTGGCTTCTTGTCAATGTCTGAACCTCAGAAACTAGGTCTGTAGCGATTATAGTGGTCAGAATTCGATAACCAGGACGCCTTACCCTTAGATGAAGCACGTATTTATCGAGTGGTTAGCAGTTGGTGATATCAAGTGGCAAAGATTTGTGGCACATGGAAGCTGATGGCATCGGACCCTGATTTCATCCCAAGTCCCTACGACAGGTTCGGGGCAATAGCACCTTCCATGTGCTTCTTGTGCTTCCTGTCGAACCTGCCAATGAAGCGCTTGTTGGCCTATAGGCCAGACGGGAGGACCCGTTGGATGTGTGGCTTTAAATGGTTTTAAAATTGGTCACTTTGGGAGAGTCCGCGTTCAGTTGGACTTATTTTCGACGGTCTTGCTACCTGAGTGTATAGGGGAACTAATGCTTAAGAGGTGTTGAAAGATGATGGATTTTTATGGATTTTTTCTGATTCTTACCAAGCCACCAAGCCTTTCCCTTTTCTCTCCAAGTGATGCAACTCGTGGCCTGACGGGTTCGATGTCCTGCGGAGCCCAGCGGAGGTTTTCTTATGTGCAGAAGCGAGTGATCCCCATCATCACTGTGGGGATCGGATCCTGGGCTCTGATCCTGAACTTCCTGGCGTTCTTTGGAGTTACAAGCACGAGTTTTATAGCGCCTTGGCGGAAGCTGCTGGAAGGTGGAAGGCTTCCGATCCACAAAAACTGTTGCAGATATGTGTTCATCCTGAAACATATGTATATGTACGCGCAACGCCTGGGCTTTGCCCCAGCGTTACAGCGTAGAGGCTTCCCATTCCCAATATTCCCAATCAAATGTTGTTGCAACTTTACATTCAATTGGAAAGATCAACAAAGGTATTAGGGAATATAAAATCTCACCCCCGTTAAACTCTACATTCAATTGGGAAGATCAACAAAGGTAATAGGTATTGATGATGATGATGATGATGATGATGATGCGTTGCCCGTCGTCGTCGCGGTTCGGGGCAAAGCCCAGGCATTTGCCGTATGTATGTATATATATATAACATCTATCATATTGATTGATTATATGGATTGCTTAGTTAAACATCGAATCTCAGGTTTGATCTGGGTTGCCAACAGGCACTTGTGATGCAATGACAGATCACATTTCACTAAGCGGCTGAGATGACAAAGTTGTTCCATCAAACTCCCTTCTTTTGATGATAAGATCAGCCTAATTAACTTTAGTGGTTCGCCATCCTAATGTATTCCTCATTTAGCAGTTAATCATGTTAATCATATCACCATTTTTGATGACCTCAATTTATTCCATCGGATCCATCGTTTCGAGGTCATTTTTGCTTTCGATATCTTGGACCTCCAAGGAGGCCTGGATGGAAAAGATTGATCCGGGAGCTTTTTGAATGGGCACCATTGGGCACCCAAAGGAAGCGCAAAAAAAGGTGACTTTTTCTACCCGATGGTGGGACAAAGCAATCGTATTTGAGTTGTTTTGGTTTTCCTCTGGCCTAGTGTCGGACTTTGCACAACTCTGTGAGATGCATTTTTTTATTGTCACTCAAAGAGCGTTGGAGCTGCAGGTGACAAGTGGCAAAGTCTGTGCATCATGATGATGTTCTTCTTTTCCATCGAAAGAGCATCTTGAGCTGGTTCAGGTTTGGTGGTTTTGCTGTGTCAAATAGGGATTCCATATTTCCACAATCCGTGACGACTGAGAAGTTAAGGTCCCGTTGACGGCCCACTGTGACGGGCTAATTAGTTGCGCCATTGATGCTACTTAGTTTACACTGTTGCTCGCTTTTGCTCTTTTCACGGTGTAAATGTGTTCCAACAGCCTTCCCGCAAACGGCACCTCTTTTTTCTTTGCGTTCCTGTACCTATGAGACCCAAGCATACTTGATCTCTGGGTTCGTTGACTGTGCAGCACATTTTGATACATGTTGGGGTTGTCCTGCCAGAGAGGAGTTTGCAACTGATACCAGAATCTGTTAAAGATGCACTGGATGATGAACAATGCCATTCAATACCCAACATGGTGAACATTTCGAGTTTCACTCTTGCTGAAAAAGATGTTGAATTGACTCTGTCATATTGTTTTTAAAAATTGTCGTTGCAACTGCAAATTGCAGAGAAAGTGCAGTGTTAGCTGAGGGATATTCGATGAGAAAACATAGGATCATCATTCAGCTCAACTTTTTTGCGGCTTAGAAGGCTCGAGAGACTGTAAAATTCTGTAAAAGACCCAACGTATGATTTTCATGCTAAGCACCCCTTTGTTGGGGTTCAACATGTGCACATCTACAAAACTAAATCTAAATGCAACATACCGGCGCTCCAAATATCAGGAAGCCACTTTACAATGCCCTTCGCAATCAGCTGATCGAGACCCATTTTTGAGTTTTGGTTTGAAGGTAAGGGATGTAGGTGGAAAGGCCCAACAAAGAGGTGTCGCTGCAGCATCACAAGGCACTGGGAGTCTTGAAGTTCGTGATCGATATTGGTTCCGGTGAAAAATCTTTAAGCCATCTTCGCATTGAGGAGTGCAACGACGATGCCACTTGGCAGCGGCTTTATCTGTTTGAGCTCCGAATGGCAAGAGCCCATAAATTGGACGGCTTGGTTCGGTAGCCAAAATGACAAGCCAGTTGTTGTGCCGAAACAGTCCTTCATTTTGGTTCGCCACCCCTCATTTTTTAGTGCAGACCTTCGATCGTCCTGAACTGTGAAAACGTGTCCTCAATCCCGCCAGAGTGCAGCATCTGCCAAGGGAGCAGTTGATGATTATTGAGCAATACAACCATTTTCAGCCACTGAGTTTTGTTATGATCATTAACGCACTGATGAGGATCATCGGACCTGGTAGCAGATCATGCTCATCATCACAAAATGTCTGTTGTGTTACACCCGTTTTGAATTCAGCGTGAAGCCAAGAAAATGCTGACAGTGTCGAACTTCAGCATCTTCTGTATTCTTTCGTCTGACATCATTCTGACACTTTCTTTTCCATCATGCTTTGGCTTGCTTGGTACATCCTATTTCCGAGGTTCGCGACATTATCCTTGCGAATCAGATCAAGAAAGTCAGCGCCACTCCTCGAGGAAGATTTGGCTGCTGACGGCTCGACTTGACTTTCGCGACCTGACCGGTTTTCAGTCAAAGACTTTGACCTGTCGGGGCTTAACCACATAGCCGATCGAGCCTTTTCGGGAATGGCTTAAGCTCCAATTGTGGGAATGTTTTTTTGTTGGATTTACATGGGTATACTGGCATACTACATCACTTTTTCCAAGTGCAAATGATATAGCTGATTGTTCGACGTTCTCATTTTGGTTTTCAAGCTATGCCCATGGCAACTCATCGACATGCCTTTGAATCTTGCCACTTTTGAGTGGCCCTTGGCTCGCCGATGTCAATGCGCAAGAGGTGAAAATGACGCGGCAAGTCTCAAGGGTACCAGCATCACTTAGGGCAACACCAAACGCATCACTTCAGACAATATCCAGAAATCACACACTCCTCACACTTTGGACGCTCACTTTGGGCAACACGGATTTCATCACTTTGGGCAACACGGACTTGTCATCTGGCATCCAGGTATAAACAAACAGATAAGCACACGCACAGAGATATATCGTCCTTGTGCAATCTTTTTTTTTCCGCCGCAAACAAACGACTGCATAATTTTGCCTGTGCAAGCGTTTGGCTTCAGATAGCTGCAAACACGGAAAGCTATGGAAAGTTATTCTTCCCTTTTGATTTAGGACGGTAATAGTATTTGTCAAGCCGCCCCCACTGGGTGGGAAAGCAACCAGACCGCAAATCTGCTGCTTTTGACTGAAGAATTGCTTCAAGTGTTGACCGGGACTGGCCATGAAGCACGATTTGGGCTGACATCCCTAAAACTGGCCGAGCAAGATGTCGGGACTTTCACGCAGCATGGCAATCCCTGCAGGACCTCCCTGGGGCGCTTGAAGCCATCCGACATTTCGTGTTCCAAACGCTATGAATTTGTGAATCACCACTTTTTTCCTAGCCATTTTTAGGGGCTGAAGAGAATGGTTGAAACTGCAAGAAGCTAGGTTCGAAACTGCTTTGAGGCTATATATAGATGAGCTAGAGCCAAAGGGCAAAGTGAGCACCTGTAACCTTATGATATGGGTGCTCAGGAACTACGGTTTTTCGCAGTGTTGAACACCGATGACACTCCTACATTGGCATGCCCAGAGTGTTCAAATCCAGTTGTGCAGTGGACATATATCCTTAAGTCCTGAAGTTATTTGGTTGCAAATCTTTCTTGTTCTTTGATTTCATCGACAGATCTCCATTTTGCTTAATGAATTCACAATGTTTCACATTCCGAAACAATTCAGTAGTGTAAAACCATGTAAAACCCAAATCCAGCAATTTAAAGTCTTTTTCACTTCATGTTCACCATGATTTGATGATAGTTGATGACCATAACTAGAAAAGTCACCGTTTGTTCCATGCCTTTTTTGGAGACACACCAGCTCCGTCCTAGGAGCGGGTGCCGTGGTGGCTGCCCTTGCGGTAGATCAGAGGTGCCGGGATTCATTCCATCCATTCCATTTGGGGTTGTTAAGATGGTTTCAGACAGAGGTTGTTAAGTGGTTACATACCATATTTTTATATATTTGTGCTTTGATATCTATGAATTACCACTATACTCAACAAACACCCCTTTTTTTTGTGCTACATATCCATGTAGAGGATCATTTAACATGACCATAGTTTGTATGAAAATGGGTCTGCCTGAAAATGGGGTGTACCGTTATACCAACCCAGATATTTTGACATGGATGATGACCAACCAGTGGATTTAGAGGTGCCATTTCCCCATTGAAATTGCTGCCGGGTATGCTCCATTTTGGGACACACCCAGTTAGAGGATCAACCTCGCATAAATAGCAACCTAAATCCAGATCTCAAACATGACCAATCTGTTTATTTGTTGATTGATTGATTGATTTGATTTGATTTGTTTTGTTTTGATTTGATTTGATTGATTGATTGATTGATTGAGATGATTGATTGCTTGATTGATTGATTGATTGATTGATTGATTGATTTATTCATGTATTTATCTACTATTATGTTTTTTTTTCATTTTTTGTTGCAGCTGCACACGATGCTACAGTTGAATGACAGAATTGTGATGATATGTATTTGCATGTATGTGTGTATCTACAAAATTTACATCTAAACTATACGCATAAACATAGATAGATAGATAGATAGATAGATAGATAGAACAATGCGTTTTAAAGTAAATACATAGACATAATTATATCATATGATTGAGACAATAAATCAATCCATATGGTATAGGAGCGAACAAGGAAAGTTATTGGCGGGCAAGAACTGGGCACAACTTTGTATTACCGATGGTTCTGGGATAGAATGATTAAGAATGTCTTACATGTACTTGGCGTGGGCATGCAGCCAATGAAAACATATGAAAACGAGATTTGACTCCACGATCGAACATGGGGTAGACACACATGGGAAGATAAGAAACGAAACGAACAAGACTGAGTTTCTTTCACGAGAATCAATCTTAAAACCCAGCTCCAAACAGTTCAGTTTTTCCAAGAATCTTGCGCAACATGATGCCGTTTTTCTTGTTGAATCCACCTGTTCATGTTGTGTGTGAGATTCAAGACAAATCTAAATCCCAATATATAAAGATGCAAAAAATAAATCAGATCTGGAGTAAAAGGTGCGTGGACAATTTTGAGGCTCCAAATTTCTCCAGACCTTTGGACCACAGATGGAGCTGCTGAGCCGACAGGTTACAGTTGAGCCACGATGCATGGCTGGCGATGAAGTTGGTTCCCATCCTGGTGGGTGGCAAATTGCGCGGCTTGGTGCACAGGGCTTGGCACATATGCCAAGTGCAGTGGCTGATCAAAACCCATGTTAATTGATGATTATATGGGGGTTACGCTATCCAATATGTTGGAGATCACGATTCATTCTTGGAAATCCGCTGACCAGCCACTATAAAGGAACAAGGCAACATATTGGTTTAGGTCACACTGCTCAGTGGTGGAGGTTTGATCGTGGTTCTTGAGGAATACACTGACAAAAACACATGGGGATCTGTTAGAATACCATGGCAACTTGAGGGATGCATATCCGATTGCCAGAAAAAAAAAAGATACTAACGGATACCAGGATGAACTGACCAAAAACATCCAAAAACCATATCCATTTTTGCACGCTTTCTTTTTGTGAGCTTTCCATGTCCCAATGATCTTCACCTGACTGCTAAGGTATGGGTCGAGATAGTCGGGATGCCAACGGCAGCGAATTTCCACCTGATTTTGGCCGGAAATTGAGGTATCCCATGGTATCCCCACTTTCAGATGATATGACGCGAAAGAAGTTCGAAGATAAGATGGGAGTCAGACATGGAATGTTCAGATGCGACATGATGTTTGCACATCTTGCATGGTGAAAAGATGAGTACCTGCCGTTGTACACCAGTCAAACAGTTGATATGCTGTGATAGTGCCCCCATGTTCAATGGTGGATGACCCAGGGTACACAGAAAAAATCGGAACCCATCATGGCAGGGAGATTTTCCGTTCGCTGAGGCTACAGCATTGCTGATTTGTCTTCCCAGCTCAAAGTTGTGCCGGAAGATTAAAAGAGACACCATTACAACGCACTTTCCAGTCAAAGAAGAATTTGCTGCAGCAGACAAAGCATCTCAGGAGATGTTTTCTTGACATATACTCCCCCGCTGAAGAGTCCCAAATTCTTAGACGATTTGGCAATTGAAGATGGCTTTAACAGCCAACACCGTTCTTTCTTCCACGGCTACATCAAAATTCCTGAGCTTGATTTCTCATTTTTTTCCAAACAGATATGTTTTTTCTCCAGGTCCAACAATCGCCATGTTTTGATATCTTCGATTTCAAAACAGCATATCCTCCCACTATCCACCGTCAAAAAATCTGTCCTTTCCAGGTGGCAGGAGTCGGTGCAGCGCTTCGGGGATCGTACCTTTACCATCTTCGAGCATCGACGACTGAGCTTCCAGGAGCTTAGTAAAATGACTGATTTCGGTGAAACCACCATGGGATTTTTGGGACCATGAATGTACCATCACTGACAACTTAGATATCACTTATATCCCCATGTTGATGATAGAAAATGGTCGAAGGTTTCTATATTTTGTGGTCATATATATATATATACACAATATACATACGTACACACACAAACCATTTGACTAGTGACTTTTTGGGTGTATTTTATCTCGACATGTGTTTTCGGCACACATCTCCCCTGAAGATCATTGTCTTTTTTTCTTGTCTACCAAGTCTACCCCAAGTTCCAGCGGATCATGCAGCTGGAATTTAAATCACTTCTCAGTGCCCTCATTGTTTCGTGACTTCTTACGGTCCAAAATGAACGGCAGTGGCACTGGGGTATACTTCCCAGCGGCTTGTCGCAAGTTGTCTCAGGATTTCGAGCACATCTCTAATCAAATGGCGCATTTCTTGCTGAAGCAGGGCTTGAAGACTGGTCAGGCCGGGTAGAGGAAACATGTTTCCTATGTTTGGTGATTTTGGGGCCTCTAGTCCACATATTCTTCATTGTTTTGATGCAGAAAGAATGGGGTTGAAGTTCGGGAAGCTCCAAAATTTTTGGAATCATGGCAGTTGCTTGTGAGCCATGGTGAGCCATGGTGCTGGATTTGTGACAACGGGGGATCTCGAGTCGTGAGTAGCCTGGAGTTCCATGGAACCAGCGAATCTCTTTTGGTCGCTGGCCTAGTTTTCTATGGCTTTAGAAGACCACAGGGATCCAACTATGAGGAATTCCACATCTATGGTCCAGTGGCTCCTAAAACCAGCTTTTTTCGAGGCTATCGGTGTATCATCTCTCATAGGTTTGTGCGTTGATGATGGAGAACAAGCCGGAGTATGTCTGCTGGTGGCTGGCCATGGTCCTTACCCCAGATCTACTGCAAGGGTTTCGAGAGCAGCAAGACGTGTGCACGGAGCGCTGTCAGGATGAGATAGGTCTCAGTATGCTGTTTCATAGCATCCCATATTCGGATGAAATTTCAGTAGTGCGTAAAACTGCGGTTGATACCAGATCGATAAGATCCAGGGGAATTTGGTTGGTGCCTTGTAAAGGCAACCTTTGCAGAAGCAGGATTCAACAATGGACGGTTTCAGCCTAGGCAAAGATTGGAGTGCAGGTGCGGTGGGGATCTGATCCCTGATGGTGATCTGGAAATTGTGTTGAGAAATTCAGCAAGAAAAGGTAGACAAAATGATCATGTCCAGCACTGGGGTTCACCTAAAAAACCAAAAACACGTTGGGAGCGGTTTCACTCACATGACAGCTCAGGCAGCAATGCTGAACTTCAATCTCACAGGTCAAGTTTGGGGACTGCACCAGGGGAATCGGGTAGGGCTCAAAGCTGAAAAAGGGTTAGGTGGTCCTCCCCACCAAGCCTCCAGCAGCCTCCAGCAGCCTCCAGGCAAAGGCTTGGCGCATTGCATCGCGGTGGCCGGTTGCGGAACCTTAGTCTTTGACGCAGGGACTGAGGTGGGGCGTGGGTGGAGAACATGTGGGATAAAATTTGGCTGGCTTTGGGAGAAGGCTTGGATGGCTTGGGTTCACCTGCCACAGAATGCGTAATCAGCTCTTAGTGCGAATCTTCCTGCGAGTTATCTGTCAGGCCAACCTGCACACTATCGATAGCCAGATTCGAGAAACTGGCCTTCAACTGGTGTGCTGGGGAGGCAAAGGAGGGATACTGTAAACATTGAAAACTACTAGATGTTGCAATACTGTGAAGCTACTCTGTACAGAAATGATCATCTGTAATCTGCAGAATCAAACCCAAGTCTCCACCCCATGATCATGTGTCCCATTTCTTTTTCTGTGGTTCACAAATAGTTATTCTCATAATCCCTTGTTCCTGCAATGTTTCGAGGATTGATTTGTGCCCAATCAGCATTCCATATGTTTTTCCCATGTTTTCTTGGCACAGCATGCAGCACGCACACCACATTCTGCTGCAGGGAAGCCTCACTTGAGCTTTTCAAACACACCAGCCGTGGTGGACTACGATCAGCTCATGGGCTTCCCCTACCAAGGTGGGCATCCGACCGACGGACCGTGGTGTTTTTGGAGATGGACCCTGCCACCAGTGCCACCTTCATCACTGGATATTTCCGGATCCCACCTTTACACCACCTTAAAAAAACACTAGCAGCACTAGCAGCACTAGCACTGAGCTTGATGCCTTGGACATGCCGTGGCCGAACGACATGGTCCAACCATGTCCCTGTTTCTCCAGGTTCCAACTTTGTGGATTTGCGCAAAGGCGGCGGACCAGTTTTGTGAGTTTGGTTGTGGGACATGTTTGGTGAAGGATATTTCAGTGTCAGAGGGAAAGCCGAATCAATTTGCTGTACATCAACTGGAGACTTACACAGCACCATTGGGTATTCACAGACCCCAAAGTGGAAAAAAACAACATCGCACTGGCATTTTGGTTGACTTTTGAACAGTGGAAAGGCATCAAATTCACAGACGTCTTCGGCTACATCTACACCAGTGGCACCACTGGACTGCCAAAGGCACCACGGTCGGGCGTTCTAACTACCTCAAAAGTCTCGATTTTGTCGATATTTTGAGGATTTTTGAGGGAAAAATCAACAGTTCGCCCCAATGCTTTCTTTTCAAACGCTTTCACATTTATGTGCTGGCATGGTTTCACAAATTCCAACGGGAAGGTCTACTCAGAGTCTACTTAATGACAAATATGACAAGTGTATTGCTGAACCTTCGATCAGCACCACTGAAACCCCCTTGAACTCCCCCTTTATTCAATTTTATTAATTTGTTCCAAAAATGGCTGCAGTTTCTGATCTCATCCGCAGGCAGCCAAGGTGACGCACGCGCGGATGTATGGCTTGGGCGGCATCGGTCGTTTGTTGGGGCTAGGACCAGGCCGTTGGAGTTTGGTCGACTGAAGCGGTCAAAACGTCACTGTTTTGCTCTCCACTTTGGAGGGAGCGGTTTAAAGCTATGGCTATCACTTCTTACAACATCTTAAATGGGAAATGATGGGAAGCCAAGGAGCCACGAATTGATTTTCGAAGCAAATAATAGTTTTGACAGAGATCGATTTCACATATTTCACTATTTCACCTGAATGCCCAGTTGAGTTGCCATTCAGGGAAACTGGATTTTAGATGATTTTGGGACATGTGTAGTCAATGACACCTGCAAAATGGATAAGCTTGATGCAAATGCAATGGCAGTGATGAAACCCCAAATACATATAATGTATACATTATATATAATCCATTATATATATACACAGTAACCCATCATATAAGTGGCTTTTACATGCTGTTACTAGGGTTTTAGAAGGCTTACTAATTGGGATCTATCTTAAGAAATGCAGTGTCAAGACCATGGCGCAGGTGATGTGCTCTACACCTGCCTACCGCTGTATCACACTGCCGGTGGCGGCTTGGGAGCCATGTCCTGCTTTATGTCAGGGCCCATGATGCGCCGGAGTTTGATGCTGACAATGCTGAAAATGCTGAAAACAAACATGTATCAGGACAGTCACACCCAGAGATATAGTAGACAAATGTGGATGTCCTGCTGGGTTTTGTGTTTTTGTTCAAATTCTGATACTTTGGGGCACCCAGATAGAATTGATGAAGGTGACATTCATACGGTGACCACATATTCACATTTATCAACATATTTCACATATTTCACATTCTTTCGCTGTTTGATATGTATAAATAGTCTAAATATACCTGAAGACACCCGTATATACAGTTTTTACAAGGTATCTGTGGGAGATTTCTGTGGCATACGCGATCAACCTGATCAACCTTGGATTTTCCACATATGTCGATGATCAACCACCGTTGCATAACACATTGTGCTCAGGAAGCAAATTATGCAGATTTCCACTTGGGCATGTTTCATACAATCCATTTCATGGTGCATTTCTGGTAAACATCGTTTTGTTCCCATGTTTTTTTTAAACATCATTAATCATCATTAACCATCATTAATTAACCATTAGACATCATTAACCATCATTAGCCACCATTAACCATCATTAATTAACCATTAAAACTTGTGGTAAACCCCGCCCTGTTTGGAGCTGTGGAAGCAGCACATCGGACCTAGGTCTGGTGCCACGATGGCTCTGGCGAAGAAGTTCAGTGCTGCGCGCTTTTGGAGAGAAATCTCGGAACAGCAATGCACGGCGTTTCAATACATCGGTCCGTGGACTCAGGTGGACTCAGGTGGACTCAGGCTGTTTGCTGCTGGTAGAGCAATCGAATGACATAGAGGACATAGAGGACATAGAGAGATGGAATATCCATGAAATATCTTATAATATCTTGGTTTCTAGAGATGATCTATTTTGAAGTATGGTTCAGGTGATCGAACCCGTCCATTCGAATTTGACGTCCTGATTTTCTTGCCGTTCAATCTGCAAGGTGAGTTTGTGCGCTTCCTCGGTTTTCACTGCCGTTGCGTTTCATTCATCACTCGGGGCTAGAGATAGTTCTCCTCCACCCCAGTTGAGGAGTTTTTTCATTGGATCTGACTTGCCTGTTGAGGATGTCAAGGATGTCCAGGACTCCACTTTCGGTTCTTGTCCAGTCCCCATAGCTTCGCAAGTTACGGCACGTGAGGTGAGTTGGGCCGATATCTGGTGAACTATGCCAGGCAGGGGTTCACTGATATGGGTTGATTCTTAAGACACTGGGTGATCCCATCTAGTTTTGAACCCAAGTTTGAGCCTTAGACGAATGAAATGACCACAGAATCAAGTCTCAACCGTAGCAAAGATGGTTGAGCAAAAGCTGCATTGTGTGTCACTGAAATTTTCAGAGGCCCATTGCCATCGTTCCGATGCTGACCACTGTCAGGGATCATCCGGAAGTGTGTGAGATCCCGCACAAATTGCGGGGGGCCATTGGAAACGGCTTGAGGTGCGGCCAGATACTGCTGCAATGTCCCATTGAATCACCATGCGTTGCAGAAATTGATGCATAGTGACATTGCTATATTTAGTGAGTTTAGTGACATCAACTAGGTTCACTCCTAAATATTATGATGGTTGGTGAACATTGGTGAACATCACTTCTATATTTGGTACTACAACATTGTTGTTGGTCAACTCCTGCTACTTCCCCGAAAAAAAATAAAACAAAAACACCCATGGAAAGCCATTCGTGGTATGCCTTTGGGCCAGATGGGCCAGGCCTGAGGTGTGGGATGAGTTTCAGGATAAGTTCAACATCCCGGTGGTGGTGGAGCTTGGAGACCTGGGATGACCTGGGATGACCTGGGGTATCCAATCTTTCCATATCGTTCTCAGGATTGAATAGAAGATATAGATAGATGTAGTAGGTTGGGTCATAATATGATACCATGATACCCTCCAGTAAACCAACAGTTTGCGAACCGGTCACCATTTTTCACAGTAAATCAGCTCTCCGAAAATGAGGCCATCCCGGTCCCCTGAGGTTCTATGGAGCCACGGAAGGCAATGGAGCCCTGGTGAACGTCTGCAGGACTCGATGTTTCCATGTTTGGGGGAGGGGAGTTTGTGGTAGATATCAGTTGATGGGGGTTCAAAACCAACTTATATATCTGGATACATCTAGATATATCTAGGCATATCTGGATATTTCTGGACAATTGGATAGATGAATGATGATGCATATAATATATATATATATAAATTATATATAAATCATAGGCCGAGGGAAAGCCTTGATGCATTCGTGGCCGAAGGAAGTCTGACCTGCAGCAGCGGGGCGCTGTTGGAAGAAGCGGTTTTGGCTTCGACCTGGTGCGGTTTCCCAAGTTTCCCGGACGGCTTGGGATGGTCACCGTCGGCCCTGATGGGAAAAATGGAACCGGAAAACCATGGTTTCATCTATGGTTTCTGGACAATTGGATAGATTTGATGGTAAAAACCATGGTTTCCGGTGTAGATTTTCCCCAACAAACCAATCCATTGACTGATTTCACTGGAAATCACGCTGTCGGATGTTGCTTGGTTTTTGACACGACGAGTTGTTTTCCTCGTGACCTGGTTTCAGCTGCCGCATCCACCTTGATGAAGTCCCAAAGCGCCGTGACCGACCAAGATCACGGGCTTCAAAATTGTGAAGTTCGACGTGGAAAACGAAACGCCTGTCCGTGGAGCCAATGGCTTTTGCTCCTTGGCCCAAGTCTTTCTGAGGTGGGTGCGTTTGAAAATGGGCTAAGTCCGGCTAAGTGCACAAGAAATAGGGAAAATGTTGGTAATCCATTGCCCTATGCTCAGACGCAGCCACGTTGGCTTTCACATTTTGATTGCCAACGATGTTTTCACACAGAAACCTTCAAAATGGGCTGTCAGCCAAGCACCAAGGTGAGGTGAATTGTTTCACTCCGCAACATCATTATCCACGATAGTTGGGAAAATTATTTCAAGTACTACATTTCTTTGGGGGGTTCAGTCAGTGCCATAGTCACACATCCTTGAGAGGATCGCAGTCATCTTCGCAATGGAATGTAGACCTTAACGGGGGTGGGGCTTTAGATTCTTCTTCATCTTCCCAATTGAATTTAAAGATTAACGGGAATGGGAATTTGGATTCGTCTTCATCTTCCCACCCGAATGTAGAATTTAGAATTTACCCGGAGGTGGGAATTTAGCTTCTTCTTCATCTCCCCGCTTGAATATAAAGTTTAACGCGGGTGGTTCTGTCTTCATCTCCCCAACTGAATGTAAAGTTTAATGGGGGTTGGGCTTAGATTCTTCTTCATCTCCGCAATTCAATTTAAAGTCGAACGGGGGTGGGAATTTATTAGACTCTTGGACAATGAGTCATTGAGTCATGGTGGGAATTTATTAGACTCTTGGTGGGAATTTATTTGACTCTTGTCTAAACCGGGACTTGCTTGGTCAATGAGTCATTGAATCATGATTATCAGGTGACATTTTCTATGTTGAGATTCCGTCTAGTATGACTTGACCTTTTTTTAGTAACACAGAGGATTCTTGAATGAAGTGTCATGATTGTCCACTGTGACCTGATAGACTGATTCTGTTGACGCAGTTGTAAATTAGATTATTCATACATCAATTCATATTCACATATTTTTTAGAATGTATTTTTCCTCACTTTACTATGTTGGATTCTAATTTTTTGCCGCTATCCGCCGTCTCCTCCTCCGTCCTGCAGCCGTCCTCCCGCCGTCGTCATCCCTCCATCACATTCCGTCAACTTGTCTCCATGACATTTGTCTTTATCAATTTGTCACTATTTGTCTTCATCGCAGTGCTTCCTGCCTGTCTGAAGTGCTTTGCTGCCGTTCGGGACGGAATTGACGCTTTGACGCTTTGGCCGCCGCGGCTGTTTCTCCATCGCGTTCCTCTCTATTAACTTGTCTCCGTCGCCGCGGCACTTCCTGCCTCTGTCCGCGGTTTGGAGCAGCACGAGAAGCAAAGGCGCGTTCTTTGTAGGGATTTTGCTTCTGTTGGCTACAGAAATTGAATACATTGACAGGCTGAAACACATCTTGGACACGCTATTTTGCTGTTCATGTGGAGGTATCGTTAATGGGGGTAGCCCCAAATCATCTAAAATTAAACCATCATAGCATTGAAACCAATGGTTTTGGGGATCCCCCAATTATCATAAACCCCATTTTGCATTGCTCTCGTGTTCCTTTGATCCTTTTGCGTTCGGTGAACTATGGGCACGCGGAGTTTTCTAAATGTCTGCGTTGCGTCATGCATACGGTGCGTCTATTGCAAAATCATCGATTTAATCCGCGTCGCGGTGCGGGTCCAAAGACTCCTTGGCATGGTGAGAATACCTTGCCCTGCAGCAGTCCGCTTCAGACAAATTTTTGCCCGTTTTCGTTCCCCTTTTTCTGAGGTTTCCTTTTTTTGGGTTGGCATCACGGAGAAACGCATTGGCATGTAAAAATTTGCCACCACAGAGGAAACGCAAAACACACTGGAATTGGCACACAAACTGAACATTGGACATCATGAAAATAAATAAAAACACACGGGTTTCCATACATACAGAGCACATTGTCGTGTAAACATTTAATCAACTCCACGTGCAGTTTCCAGCCAGCGGGTAGCTTTAGTACAGTTTAGTGTGTCCCTATGATAAGTGCGATCATCCCGATTGTTGCATGATGGAAACCGTATGAAAGAGGTTTCGTAGCAGTATGCAAACAATTTTCGCCTCAAACTTAAAAAAGAGGGTACCATTTCACATCATTTTCTCGCAGTTTTGTCTGGAAATTCCCATTGATCCATGAAATAGTTGCCCTTACAGGCACTTCCAACCCCTTTAAGATCTCGATTGCGTTTAGCCCCATTTTTCCCATACCTCCGCTGAGCTGAGGTATGGAGGCAGCGATGGATGAACCGGGTGCCTTAGCACGGGTTGAAGGGAACAGAAGGGAACAAGTACCCTCTGGTTATGTCAAAATAGCTATTGAAAATGGCCATTTATAGTGGATTTACCCATTAATAATGGCCATTTTCAATAGTTATGTTAAATTACCAGAGGGTAAGTACACGAAACCTGGGATAACACGAAAAATTTTCGTAGCGTCTACTGTAATTTTCCTACCATTTCTGCGTTCACCCACGTGCCAGGGTTTTCTATTCATAGAAATACAACGAATGACACTAACAATTTTATTGTTGAGGATGAATTTCATGATTTTCATACTTGGGCATCAGGTGAGCAAGTCCATACAGTGACCAACTAATCCCATATCCCTAATATCAAACAATTCTTAGAGACTAGAAACCTTGGTTACTTCTTTTGGATATATTCATGATGTGGGATACTTGGGCCCTCAAAAATGGGGTGGCCAACCTCGTGATGAAGCTTGTCCTGGCACCAAGGTGAACTGCTTTTCCCAATCAGAGAGGACCATCCGTCCAAGAGGTGGCAAGAAAATGGTCATGTCGACACCCCAATTGGACAATCCCATAGCCCTTACTGGCCCTTACTGTACATATCCTTATATATATTCAGATATATTAAAGGAGGATTTTTTGGGACTCAAAATAAATGGATCCAATACACATAGTCTGATTTTCTAAGGGGGCGGGATTCAATTTTAGGCACATGGGATTTTTCCAAGAACTATGCCAAAATTGACATGCTTGAAAACATGGTTCAATTTTGAGAAATTTGCAGGTGTGTTTTCCTCTGGCTGCAAGCTGGGCGGTCAAGGCTGTGTGTTGCTACCAGGTTTGATGGGTACACTGACCCCAAAGCGACGGAGAAGAAGGCTGGACCAGGGCGGTGTGGTGCTTCCTTCATAAGGGTCAATAAGGAACCCAACTTCTGCGGCTACCCCTGACATGACTTTGTGAGGTTTATGAATATCGCGGCTTGAGTCAGCATGTCAAATCACATGAGGTTGTGAAATGAGTCCCCTCATATTTTATATGGATTTTATTTCCCTACTTCGGCAGGGTGGACGTCGAAACAATCACTATTCTTTTGTCACCAAATGTCACATCTTGGGATCTTGCCATGCCAGGAATGGATGATTGTTGGTTGCTGGATCTACTGTACTAAGGAACCCAATCTCTACAACCAGTATATCTCTCCACAACAGGTCTATGAGAACAATGTAAAAACAGTACCCATCATCATCATCATCATCATCATCATCATCACCATCACCATCACCATCACCATCACCATCACCATCACCATCACCATCATCATCATCATCATCATCATCATCACTATTTACTATATAATCACCTTTTTCAATAGACTTCACCAGAATGCTCAACTACAGAATGCCGGGGATACGTTGCCATGTGCTGCTGATTGGTTCCATGGTCGTGTTGCTCGAGCGTCACGTCCGCATCACATCGGTGCTAGCGGTGCCAGCGGTGCCATGGAGTCGAGTCTGGCTCTGCCAACAGCTGTGGCCATCAGCACTGTAACTGGACAGGACGTGATGGGGTTTACCCTTTGGTCATCAAACATTGCCTGGAAAATCCCCGAAATAAATGGAAGTTATGGCCAGTTATGGCAATGGAAAATCATCAAATAGGAGAGATTTCCCAGCCAGCCATGTTTGATTGGAGGGTAAATCCCTGGATCTATGAAACTGGGAAAATCATCCCAGCTTTGGTGTCAAAAGTTGGAGTATGACTACCCATATTGGATCATAGGGGAAGGCTTTGACGGTTTGACCATACCCCCCCCCATTATACCATGTTTTGACCGTGGCACATACAGGTTTGTCAATGACAAGGTTTGAAAACGCCCGGCCTTCATGGTTGATTGTAATTTAAGCATCGGTTTTTGACACCGCTCATGTGTCCGGGATAGCTCAGCATCGCCATCTTTAAAATATTCTGTTGGATAAAGGTGGTCACTCTTCACAAGCCATACTGGGCCATACTTGTCATTCATGTTCCGTCATAAATGGAGAAGATCATGTGGGCAACCCAATGCCATAAACCTACCATTTGGGCATGGTTCAAAGGCCACCCATGTGATTTTGGGGATGGTTTATGAAATTGGCACCGCTTGACACTGCAGACAATTATGATCAAATTGATGAGGCTCCGTTGGTGTATCTAAAGCTTCTGCGAGCTTTCTATCTGCGCTTCCACAAGTTGTCACCTCTCTTCGCAGAGGCCTTTCCGCACCTTGGCACACTTTTGTGTGTTCCAAGGTTCCACCGAGATCTCCAAAGGCTGGGGAGTCCTTCCCGTGAAAATTGGGGTTTCAAGGTTTCTTTTGATGGGACCTTGGCACAAATGCGATGGAGAAATGTCTTCGAATCCAACCAAATCTCAGAATTTTTGTCGCCGAGGAATCTTTTGAAATTCATCGGGGCCAGTGTCTTTGCTGCTGGGCACGCCTTGCAATGCATCCACAAGGGCAAAGCAGCCGCCTGACTGGGGAAAACGGGGAAAAGCCGAAAAGCCCAACCAACTCAGCAGTGACCCAAAATCCGTGTGGAACAGTTACTTCATTTTTTCATTTTACATCAGGATATTCGAGGCTTATGTATGCTTTTTGATTTTATTGAAGATTGTTATGACCCATTCTTTGGCAAATGATTTTGGTTAAGACACAGATTTGTTGGATGGCATGAAATCTTTTTTTGTTGCGCCGTGGTTTTTCGGTGCAGCAATCCAAATATGGCACACCCAACGGGGCCATTCTGGAGGACCATCGTTCGCATGTTTGAAGGGATAGTCTCTGGTAATTTAACATATTTAGTATGGAAAGTATTAGTAGGGATATCTAGTATTAGATAATCATGTTAGTATTGAATAGTATTGACATATTTAGTAGGGATAGTCTATGGAAAATCACCATATTTAGTATGCACATCAAACTAAATGGACCATTTACCATCGCGAATGGTCACCAGAAGGTAGATGAGGTGGTCACAACTGCATTGAATAGGTTCAGACCTGCCTAGGAATACACTGACTGGGGCTACATCCTTGCTTGCACTCCTTGCTTGCAACTTGGAAAAGGGAAACCGCTGCCGCTTTGGATTTTTCCATGAAAGTCACTGTGGCGTCAAATTGAATGCCTCCAACATGTTCTATCAGATGTGGTTCTGGGGGTTGCCAAAGACTACTTTGCGCAAATGGTAGGGTTGCTCCCATCCAACAATTAGATTTTGACTGAGGAACATCGCTTTCGGTGGTGCGCTGGTAGGTAGACCTTGCCCATCTGCTTTGTTGGCATCTGGGTTTCTTGACAGCTGGATGGTTGGGAGCTGACTGGTTGGAGGAATTACCCAGGTTGGCAACCGTCCAGATTTTTCATTTGTGTATACACCGTGCAGATTTTAATGAACCGGAGAAGACATCTCGACTTGGTTGGGAGATACAAGTTCCAGCACAACTCATCTGGTTCGGTTTGCTTAAGGTTTGCGAGAAACTATGGACTCCATGGACTATTGGACTGGCTTTCTCAAGTCCATGTAGGAAGCAGAACAAGTGACGGCCATGCCAGATCCAACAGATCCAAATAGCCTGCGAAATGGATTCCAGCGGCTTCCAGGTTGCTGCTCCATGTGTCGTACGATCCCCTTTTGTTGAGAGCCTGGCGCAGTGGAACTGAAAAGCTGCTGCCTGCGATTGGAGTTTCAGCTCCCTGGATGGTATGGCAAGGGCTTGGGTTCCTCAACCCAGAGTTTTTTCGATTTCAAAGAGGGACCCAGTTCTTCATGGGGCCCATGGGGGCTCCCCATATTCTGACTTATCTACTAACTGAGTCACTGGTTTGAGGGTGCAGAGGAAACAAGTTCCTATGGTCCTTAGCTAGATCCAAGAGAGGGAAAGGACATGAGCTGAGTGCAACACGTAATTTTCTCACCCATCCTTTATTTGGACATGCGAGAGGGTAGAGCTCATGGTTGCACTTACCAAAACTGCAGTTACACCCTGTCCAACACAGAGCCCCAAGATTGCCATGACTAATCGGAAAATCAACTTTCACATCAAGTCTTTTGGTTCTATGTGGAAATTAGGGGGGAAGTTGTTCCATTTGAAGTATATGATTATATGTTCTTGGTGAAACATCCCTGTGTTTTTGGTGGGCCTTACTGCTACTGCATGTCGCCCAAACTTCTAGGATGAGCCTCCAGGCACCCAATAATTTGGTTTGGGTTGGAACATGTCCCATTTATAGCAGTTTAATTGCAACTTGAGATTTTCTAGCCTCACCGATTTTTAGCATTCAGCTCGATTATTGTCCCAGATTTGTCCCATGACGACTTGCACATTTTCCAACATTTTTTCCCATGATTCTCATTGATTATCCGTCTCATTTTGTGTGGTGTATATATATATATATATAACATGTATATAATAATCAACTATGCGACTATAATAAGCTATAATTTGGGATCATCCTATTGTAGATCATCTATTTGTCTCACTCTGTTGGCACTATGTACATACAATCAACTATCAAAGCATAATCATCATCTATAAACAATCTATAAATCATCTTTTATCGTTTATAATCATCATTATACATAATCTATATAATCAGTCATATCATATCATATCATGTCATATCACATCATATCATGTATATATATATACATCATATAATATCATATCATTTCATTTCATTTCATTTCATATATATATATGTATATGTATATATATATATATGTATATATATATATTGCATGCGCATAATCAACCATTCAGAAAAACTGGGTCCACCATTGGGCGTTAAAGAAGGCCGCAGTTTTGCTGACCTGGCTGGGCTCTGTGGCCACCTTTCTGGAGCATCGCCTGCTCTCCGAGTCGCCTTTCCTTCCCGTCCCCGTGCCATGGATTGAAGTCAAATGCAACGGGGGATAGATGGTTTTAATATGTTTTAATATGTTTTAATGCAGTTTTTAAATGGAGGTTTTAATGCCTTTGTATTTTTCAATGATGTTTTGCTGTACTTTGTGGTGTTCTTATGCTGTTTCAATGGCGTTTCGGGGGATATAGTGTTGTCTCAAACTATGGATCGGATGGGGGAAACCCAATTTATGGCACTTTTAACAAACACCGAGGTCTATGCGATGATGACCACGTGCAGTTTCGGGTTGGGCAATGGCCTCAAGTTGTATCGTTTCCGGGCGGATTTGGATGGGGGGTGCAGGTGGGGTTTAAAAATCCGTATGACCATAGGTAATAACCTCCATGAGTTGGGATATAAGCTCTATTTACAACTATCTTGTGTATGCACTTATAACTGGAACGGCAACCCCAAGTATGGGTCAAAATGATTGACGCCCCCCTCGAAATGGATGGTTTCATTCCAAAAACGGCCATGGGTCCATTGGAACCCCCCCATATATTTAGATTCGATAAACTTACTGAGCTATCGCCCTCCAAGTTTCACCTCCGCACAAAACGGGTCGCTTGGTCCCACATTCATATTCGTTCGCTTTTTGAGGGGCAGTGGCGGCAGTGTCATGTTTGTATTGTGGTTTGAATTCTTCCCATTCTTCCCTTCTTGACCAGATGATTCCAGTCACCTGCATGTCTTGGCCGGGCACAACCAGGTTTGTTCCTATCGCAGGAACCCCTGCACAAGGCGTTCGTCGGTCAGATCTTAAAAGTTACTCGGCAAAAAGGGAGGTATCTTGGATAATGCTATCTTGTTTGCAGGCAAATTCTTTATTGTTCGAAGGAAGTTTACGAGAGAAACTTCTGTGTTCCGGACATTTCAGAGGAGTAGAGTAGAGGAGCAGAGTAGGGAAGAGAAGAGTAGAGTAAAGTGCCTCTAGGTCTCGTTTTGGCTCCCGCAGGTTTTGTTCTAGGTCTCGCATGGTCTCGTTTTTTCCCCACCCTGACACAGCCACACGCCACATTTGACACTTTTAGCAGACAGTTTTGAATATGCTGAGAACAGATATTCAGCTCGCGTGGTGCCAAAGGTCTCGCGCTTGTACCCATGGGTGTCAATTTGTTGGTGCTGAAATGGCCCGTTGAAGTGTTGTACTTAGATATCTTAGATTCCACGTCAGATTAGGTTCCACCGTTCCACCTTTACTTTCACTTTTCTCTATTTCTTCGTAACTTTTCTTTTACTTTACCGGCAGATCGTGCTTGTTCGTTTGGGACAGAAGTTTTGGTTTTAACATGTTTTATAAAGGTCCTGCCCTTGAAACGCACGGAGAGATCGTAAAAAAAATACTCAATTGCAGGGAGACATTTCCAGGATTGTTGCGTGCTCATTTGAAAGTCATCACATACTTGATGTAGTTTTGAATCTTGTTTATTTAATAGTAATTTCCTTGAAATGTTGATTAAGTCCCCATTTTGAATGTGGCCACAACAAGGTGATGGCTTCGAGCATGCTTTTCACGGGCAATGCTTTAGGACTTGGGGCGCATGAAGTTCACGTACGCAGGCGCTGGGATCCCAAGGTTTTTCCCTCCGGTAAGCAAAAATGGCAATTTTAGATCCTCTATAAATGGAGGTTTTAAAGGGTGGGGAAATCAACTAGACATGGTTTCTGATTGCCATGTTTGATTTGCCGGTATCTGGAACTTGGTAATACCTGGAAAATCACAGCAGGTTTCATGTGTTTTGCGAAAAATGGGTCGCGCTTCATGGGTGTTGCATGTGCCAGAAACAATGTGCACACACACACACACTTGTGCATAAATCTACGCCATATTTTTCCATGTTTCCAATGACACATTAGATATCTTAACTATCAGTGCATTAGGTCCTCGGATGGGATTCGAAGTTAATATGCCCAACTTCCCAAAATGTGCTTCTTTCACATATTGCAAAAATGGAGCTGAGGAATACGAACATCATTACACCTGTTGGTTTGTTTGTATCATGTATCAGCAGTTCCCAGCAATTTATCATCAAAGCCCAAAACTATGCAAGAAGGGACTGGGACCACTTGGATGCTTATTTCATTTTTGAACCTATCCGTTGTTTAGTGATTTTTAATGTCTTCGTTTCAGTGAATTTGATGTCTTTGTCCCATGGGATGAGCCGAATAGGCATCCCAACAGTCGTGCCATGTCGTGCCATGTCGTGCCATGTCGTGCCAGATATGCTTGGCCCTGCTCACTGATGGTGGCTCTGGCTCTCCGAGCGCTTGCTGCGAAGCTCGCGCGCAAGGCGCGCGTTGTTGGCTGCGGTGTCGAGGAACGTCAACGGTGAATCTGAGCCTCCATTTTGAAGGCATCCATTGCCGTTGTACCGAGTCTGCTATGTTGATCATAGATTAATTGTTTGTGTATCCTGATGTGTCACGTTGAACGAGATGTTGATCGAATATTTCTTTCCGCTCCCCGAGCAGCTCCAGGCTGCCAAAGTGGAGAAATGCCAATGATCACCGCGACCACCCCTGAGTCATCCTGGCTGATCATCCCAGTTTACTCTCTTGCCATCAGGTAAGTGAAGTCGTAATTGGAAGCGCAAGGCAGAAATAAAGGGAAGATAGTACCAAACCGACAAACCGATTAACCTGGTTTGCCATCTAGAGATATCCTTCAGTTGAGCCATGTTGGTTTGGCTCGTTTACACCCAAGACTTCATCAGCTGTGCTTGCCGGAAACTACAGGTATTTGTAGAAGGGTATTTTGTAGAAGGGTTCCAACACCCAGCACTTGTGATTTCTCATGGAAATCCATCAGCGTGCATGAGTCCTTGTGTCCTTGATAAATCATCGCCCACTGAAGTGGAAGAAGGTTATGCTGTTAGAGGAGGGTCAAGTTTTGATTTATTTTGATTTGTATTTGGGACGTCACGGTCTTCATTCAGCACATCTTCAAAGTTTGCCGAAGAGCTACTGAGGAACCAAGACAGGTAGATTGCACATATCCTTCATGATGATGATGATGATGATGATCTTCTGATCATGTTCATCATCAGTACCAGCACCAGCACCAGCACCACCATCATCCTTATCTGATTCCACGTGATTCATCCTCATCCTCATCCCCATCTTTTTGTTAGACTACCAGTCGAAAGTTACGCGAGACAAACTTGACTTTGGCCACACAAACCTTTCGCCCAGGCGATCTTCTGACCACGAATCTGAGGGATTTCTATGAGATCGTTCTGTGGAACTTAGGCGGCCCAGGATGTCAATCGAACATTGACCCTTCAACTCCCGAACCTTGAAATCACTTACTGACTGTTAGGGCTTGCAGAATAGAGGTAAAAAAACAATTTGATGGTTGGATGCTATTGGCATTTTCCACGTGTTTTTTTTTGGTCTATCATTGACTTGGATGGGAAAGACGGTCATAAATCAGCCGCCCCAGTAGAGCAATCTGATTTCCAGAGGATCAAGTTACAACCAGCAGAGTGGTGTGATTCGTTGATTCCTATGCGTTTCACACAACGCTTTAGATTTGAACAACACACACCATTTCATGTCCTTGTTGAACATGATTTCTTTCATCTTCCGAACAATGTGTGGCAGTATTGGATCAAGTGGCACTTCTGTGATTGCACGTTCATGGTGTCATGATCAATAGCTATCTGGCAAAGTGTGACTTTCCATGTCCAAATTCACCAACATATAACTTATATAACAACATTGTCTTTTCACTTTGGAAGTAAGCATTTTCTGAAGACCTGATCCATGGATGAGGTCCGGGATGCATGAAGCGGGTATGTTCACGGCAACCATCCAGATTCTTTTGTTGCCCGGGAGCATCCTGGACCATCCTGGACCATCCTGGACCATCCTGGACCCATTTGAATTGACACCAAATGGCACCAAGCCTCAAAGAGGCGGCTGTGGCTGTTGACATGTCTACAGCGGACGGCAGGGGTCCTTGTCCGCAGATGTGCAAAAAGGATCAAAAAGGTGAGTACTGATAGTACTGATAGTACTGAACTACTGAAGTGAAAAGATGTGACTGGCAGTATTGCTCGCTCTTAATCAACGGAGATATAGAAGTCTTTCGACACGATTGTCGCTTCCAGCTACTCAGGTTTGGAGGTACAAACGGTCACGACTCAGGAATGGTAGATGCCATTTGGATTATTTTGATCTTAACATCAGTCTATAGTAAGTCTGCTGTCACGACCATTTGAACACCCTGAGAGCATCGGGAGATTGCAGGTCTTGAGCCTTTTCACCCCATGCCTGGGGTGGTTTCCAAACAGCTAGTGAGGATCGCTATGAAATGAAAGGAAGCACATCTGCCATCAAGTTGCCCAGTCGTCTCCGAGTGTCACACCAGCAGCTGTACCAGCCATGCTATAGATGTTTTCAAAGGGTAGATCAGTGGGCGTCGCAACATCTGAGCTATATTTCTCAACGCAGAACGAGCAAATAGCGCGTTTTTTTACAAGGCGCAATGATTTGGATATGTTTTGGTCTCCAAATATAGACATCTACAATCTCAATTTAAGATTTGTGGATTTGGGGGGCACACTTCCAAACTTAGTGTACCCAGCGATTGGGATTCGTCCTGCTGCCCCCGACTGATCTGTAGCAATCTGCGATGTCGAATTGTGCATGTCTCCAATTTCCACATCTGAAAATTGCAAATCAAGTCTGGCATGGAATCAGCCCAGCCCAATGAGGTGAGAAAACATATTCCAACTGATTACTACATTTATTAAAATTTATGACTTATCACCTCACAACGTGTGCCTTGCAGGTGCGGGAAACAATTTTCTCTGATGGCTCACGGTTTGGTCCTTGTCACAATCCATCCAAGATACGTTGAAGTGCTATTGTTTAAACATAGTTTAACAAATGTTTAACATATTTAGCATCGTTTCAACGCCTATTTTTCAAAGATGGAGACATCCTCTTCGATTGAGACCTGACAACATCTGACAACATCTGACAACATTTTGCAGTTTTGTGTCGGCACCATGACCGGACATGCCTGGAACGGGGGCCGTCTGCAGGGGGCATCCAAGCTCCCAGTGGGCGTCTCAACCGGTGGGCGGCTCACCCGGGTCGCGGTCGGGGCTGGGATAGCGACCGGAAACGACCAGAGGCTCTAAAAAAACAGGGCAGATCAATGACCAATTCTCATGTTTGGATTTGACCAGGCTGCGTTATCAAATCCATCCGTGACATATATTGACATATCAAATGTACCCGATACAAATGCAGGTGGGATCATTCACCATGGGTACTGTTTGGTGGTAACAGTTGTGGGGATTCCAATTGTTTGATATGTTTTGGACAAGCGGTACATGATATGAGCAACCAGAGTTTCACACAGTTCTCCATGATCCATTGTCCCATCCTCTTCCAGATGACCTCCCGATACATAGAAGTCGAATGACTGTGGCATTACATGCAGAAATGCAGAATTAACAAAGCCAAAGGCGCTCCTGGTTCGGGGTCGGTTTCTGACCGCAACTGTCGCTGTTTTTGCCGGTTGACTCATGTCAACTGCCAGCGTCGTAGTTGTACAGTGATTCGCTCGATTTCTGGTTAGCTTCAAAGAGTGACACTGGCAGCGGGCTCCTTCTGACCTTCTGCACACCAAATTTGAGTCATATTTGATACCAGGAGCCCTCCAGGGAAGGATAAGGATTTTACAGACGGTCAAATTCTGTAGTCTTCCTCCTCACCTCAAGGTCAACCTTGCAGTGATCGATGTTTCTCTCCGGACCTGCCCCAAACGACCCGAGACACCTCATTCGGTGCCTAACACAACTCAATACAGGCTTTACAGACTTTACAGACGAGGCAAAGGAGTCAACGCCAGATGTTCCAATAAATCTATATAAATCTGAGGCCAAGATTCCAAGATGCTTTGATTCCCAGTGCAGGTCCTTCGGGATGTCTTCAAGAAGGGGGATTCCTGGTTCAGATCTGGAGACCTTTTGTACAAGGCCTGGCCGCCAATTTTGCATGGGGCAGACCGGGGCAGATGGTAAATTCAAACATGCTTCTGTGGATGGATCGCGGGATGCATTTCTCAAGATCTGTTCAGCCTAAACCAACGGCGTTCCAGCTGAAGGCTCTAGTATGACCACCGGGTTCAAACTGACCCATACACTGGAAATCGGCCTTAAATAGCCAGTCTCTTCAACAGCCAACAGCTAGTTTCTTAGGTTTTTGGGCAATCGTTTTGGAGTGAAACTCTGAGATTCTGGTCAGGTTGTCATCTTTTCACAGCTGTATCGCAATCAGCAGTTTGGGAACATTCTGCCCAGAGTGGTTCCAAACAGATGGACATGTTTTCGCAGTGGCTTCGAAAGACTTTCCCTTTTCCATCTTCTAGGTACAAACTCCATCTTTTCCGAAACATCCTCAAGTCTTATACCTAAGTTTCGGCCATTCCACCGGGCTGGTTCCAGGATGCCAAGGGCCTCTGGCATTTCGTGGACCGGATCGGAGATACCTTCAGGTCACAAGCTGCTGCGTTGCAAGCTGTCGTGGGAAGAAATTCCCAAAACTTTCAGATTTCACAAACACAAATATGACAGATGTATCATTTTATGACCTTTCCAAATGACAACAACTTGACTAGAAACTCTCTGTTGAGTTGGGCAGCACACCCCAATAAAGCAGATGCATGCCTATATCTAAATCAGCATCATTGCTGGCAGGTGGAAGGGCGAGTTTCTTGGCTGCCGAATCGCCATGTTTTTTTTTTGTCATGGCTGCTCCAAATCCAAACTCATCAAATTTAAAATGGAATCCCCGGAAAAATGGCTTTGGCAGATGATTATATAAATATAATGTAATATATACGTATGTAAAAAAATATGTATATATATAAGATTACACTATATATATATTGTTATATAATATATATATATATAATTATATATAATTTTACACTATACATATATATATATATATATTATCATATCTACATATATATATACAATATCTACATATATACATATAATATCTACATATATATATATATATATATAATATCTACATATATATATAATATCTACATATATATATAATATCTACATATATATATAGAATGTCTACACATTCATAGAATATATAGAATATCTATATATATATAGATAGAATATATATATAATATATATATATATATAATATATATAATATCTACATATATAAAGAATATCGACATATATATAGAATATCTACATATGTATAGAAAATATACATATTTATATGTATATATATATAATATCTACATATATATATATATACAGAATATCTATATATATATATAATACATGTTTTCATGATTTTACTATGGATACAGCTGATATAGAGCCATTCCAACGGATTCCATTTCAACTGCACCGAGGAACGTCTCCACCATGGAGGTCTCGCAAGTGCTGTCCAGCCTGCCTGGGGTCGAGGAAGCCAACGTCTATGGCGTCCAGGCAGGGATAAGTGGATCCCAGGGATGATGGCTGCACAGCAACCTGCAAAAAGGTAAAAAAAGTGAATTCCTACTAAATGGTGGTCAATTACTGTGATTTTCTTCCTTTTTTGTGTCGCTGTGATTGAAGAAAGTGGCAAGTATAGTGTTAGTCAATGTTAGTCATAGCTAAAGTATAGAACTGGGTTGACATCAATCAAGCCATGCTAGACAGTGGGCTTGTACTTGGGATGCATTGGGGAAATAACTGGCGCATTTGAATCCAGGACTGGGGCGCACCAAACTCAGATCTCCTGGAAACAAATTGGTTGTGCCCCATCCCCCATTTTATCCAATATATCCAAAAGAAAATCCATGGGCCTGTGAAGATCACCTCCAGAGTCATCAAAAAGGAATCTACATATGAAGTCACACACATATATATATATATACAGATAGGATGTTTTGTTTGCAGCATCCATAAGCCATGTTTCATTAATATCCATGGTCGCCAGGTGCCAGGCGAGGCGGATGGACGTGCGTGCATGGTGGCCCTGCGGGGACAGGACGCGTCGCGATTTTTTAGATCGTTTCAGCGATGCCCTGGTAACGTGATAACATGGTTACTGTAACATGGTTGTATTCTAGATGGTTACATATTTATGTACTGTATAACTGTATATATGTATATCTATATATAGATATACATATATGATATTCATGATTATACCTGATGATACCACCAGATTCATCCAGATACATATCATCAAACGGCTACAAGGCCACGACAAGTGATCACAAACACAACTTTTTGGTGAAGAATTTGTCTTGGGACAAGCCCTGAATGCGACCTTTCTCTCCTCTAATCCTCTTTCTACTGACTGTCTCTTCCCTTTCTCTTCTCTGACTGTTCTCAAAACAGTTGCTGCATCTATCCGCAAGTCGTAAGTTTAACTTCTAAACTTCCTTCGATCACCGATCATATTTTCATGGGAATGCTATAGCCGTGCGAGGCCCGGCGAGGTTGTTCCTTGGTCGCCCATGAACCGCGCTGCAGGACTTGCAATCACGTGAAAAACTTGATGCTTTGCAGAGCCTTTGCGAGAAGGACTCAGCTGTTGGGAGATGGCCAGCTGACACATTACCCCCTGCTATCCCCTTGCCCCGATCATATTCCATTATGAAAGGGGATTTAACATAAAGTAACCGTCGTGAGATGTACTATAGGAGATACATGAGATACATGGGTACAACAACAAAATTGGACTATAGTGGGAAAAATACAATATTGCCATGATACACATGGGGGACAATACGGATACTCCTGTTTACACCTATCACAACATCCCTACCTTTACAGCCCTGAACTTTTTGAAAAAGACAATTTTCCAACAGTTCAGCACGTGTCTCATCTCCAGTTCCTGTAGGTAAATAAACGAAATCAACTTCAAGGGACTCCGGGGATTTGTGCGGCCAATGGCGATCTGCAGGATCGCCCTGCCTTCAGGAGCTTCCGAGCTACGCGCGTCCTCGGTTTTTGCGTTTCTTGTCCGATATGGACATCACCGGCACCTTCAAACATCAAAAGGCAACTGGGTGGATTTTCGACAGGTGGACTACTGGACTCTCACTCAAAAGATCATGACCACCAAAAAAACGTGTCCCGTAAAATGTTGTCAGGGAACTTGATGGTTTTCTTTACTTGATGCCAAAAAGTGTGTAAGAGTCAACTAGATTTCAAAGATGAATCCCAGTGAATTGATTTAAACCGTAAGTGTTAGTCCCATTCATAACTGATTCATAACCATTAAAGTCCTATTCACCCCGCTTCGCGTGGGGTGGCCGCACACCGCAGGTTTATTTCGGTCCGTGAGAGGGGCTAAGGGTGGTTTTTCCCCCGTGGGGGCTCCCCAAGCTAAGAATTTTCACTTTCCCCCCCCGTGGGGGCTCCCCAAGCTAGGGAATTTTCACTTTTCCCCCCCGTGGGGGCTCCCCAAGCTAGGGAATTTTCACTTTCCCACCCCGTGGGGGCCCCCCAACCTAGGGAATTTTCACTTTCCCCCCCCGTGAGGGCTCCCCAAGCTAGGGAATTTTCACTTTTTCCCCCCTGTGGGGGCTCCCCAAGCTAGGGAATTTTCACTTTTCCCCCCCGAGCTAGGGAATTTTCACTTTTCCCTCCCTTGGAGGCTCTCCAAGCTGCGGAATTTCAAATAGCTAGACGACGACGCCTAGATAGTCCCCTAAATCCCGTGTTCTTTGAATGTGTTTCCATGTTTTTGCAATGGTTTCCTTCAAAGCACGGTACTTTACACTTTTGTCGCCATAAAACCGGTCGAAAACATCATGTTCGACAATGCTTCCAATTCCCTTATCCCCCCAACCGTTGAAAATACCGCTATTTACAGTGTTTTCTTCAATTTTTCCATGTGCCAATGCCGGTAGCCAACTCCAACATATATATAAGAAATCCTTCCAAAACATTGTTTTTGACAGTGTTTTTCCAATGTTTCCAGTCAAACAGACGGTAATTTACACGTTTTTTGCCATAAAGGCAGTAAATCCTTCCAAAACATTGCTTTTGACAGTGTTTTTGTAATGTTTCCAGTCAAGCATACGGTAATTTACACGTTTTTTGCTATAACGTCAGTCCAAAACACTTGTTTTTGCAGTGTTTTCAATGCTCTGGCATCCAAAAACCCTGCAAAATCTTGCTATGTACAATGTTTTTTTCATTTTTGGCCGTTTTTCCATTGCCGGAAAGCTACCAAAATGACCCAAAATTCCATTTCAATACCCTCTTGCGCTCAGACACCCAAAAATCCTCGAAAAATGTCGAAAACACCACCGTATTCTGGTCTCGGTGCGAAACCGTTTTTGGGCCCCCCCCCAGCTAAAGCTGATATAGCGACTGCTATATTAACAAATGTCATTGAGCATTTAGTTGCCCCCCAATAAGTACGCCTTCACCGCCAAAGCGGTGTGGGCGGATTTAATAACAAGACATCATTAATACCAACGAACCAGCAGTAACAACCGTCAATATCCATTGACAACCATTTAGAACCAATTAACCATAATTATCATATTGATAATGTCATCAATGGTGATTCAGAACCATTAACATCATAGTGGTCATAAGTATTTGCAAATCATAGCCATTAAGATCACCATTTCGATCGTCAGCTTCGATCTGCGCCAGGTGCAGCTGAGGGACCAGGGCTTTGATCCTGCCAAGGTCCGTTTATTCGAAACGGGGAATCCATGGGATTTTCCACGTCTGAAAATATGGGAAATTGCATAGGCTGTTCTTTTTTCCCCAACAGTGTAAGCTTGGGGTCTTCAGCCATCCCAAGAACAGGTTCTCAAGAACAGGTTCACAAGCAAGATTCCCAAGGACGTTCCGAAGCAAGGTTCCCAAGCAAGGTTCCAGGAACAGGTTCGCAAGCAAGGTTGCCAGAAACTTTTCCCAAGCAAGGTTCCCAAGAACAGGTTCCCAGGCAAGATTCCCAAGCAAGGGTTCCAGGAACAGTTGCCAAGCAAGGTACCCAAGAAAGCAAGGTTCCCAGGAACAGGGTCCAAGCAAGGTTTTTAGGAAGAGGTTTCCAAGAAAAGGTTGCAAAAAAGGTTTCCAAGACTAGGTTCGCAAGCAAGGGGGTTCCAGGCAAGATTCCTGGGAACAGGTTTCCAAGCAAGGTTCGCAAGACCAGATTCCCAAGCAAGGTTCGCAAAAACAGGTTCACAAGCAAGGGCTCCAAGAACAGTGCCTCAAGTTCCAAAGCAAGGGTTCCAAGAACAGGTTTCCATGCAAGGTAGCAAGGTTACCAAGCAAGGTCCTTGAGAACAGGTTCCCAAGGAAGGTTTCCACGAAAAGGTCCCCAAGCAAGGTTCCCAAGGACAGGTTGCAAGCAAGCTTCGCAAGAACAGGTTCCCAAGCAAGGGTTCGAAGAACAGGTTCCCAAGAACAGGTTCAGGTTCCAAGAACAAATTCTCTAGGAAGGGTCCGAACAATAGGTTGCCAGCACGGATCCCACGAACACGTTCCCAAGCATGGTTTCAAAGCAAGGTTCCTCAGCAAGGCTTTCAATCACAGTTTCGCCAGCAAGGTTTCGAATAATAGGTTGACAGGCAAGGCTGTCAAGAAAGGTTCCAAAGCAAGGTTGCAAGAAAGGTTCAACGAACAGATTCCCAAGCAAGGTTCCCAAGAACAGGTTGCTCATGTTCCCAGGAACAGCTTCCCAAGAACAACTTGCAAAGCAAAATTTCGAAGAACAGCTGCACGCAAGGTTCCGAAGGACAGGTTCCTAAACAAGGCTCCCAAGCAAAGTTACGAAAAACAGGTTCCCGAGCAAGGTCCCAATGAACAGGTGTGAAGCAAGCAGGCAAAGTTTTCAAGAACAGGTTCCCAAGAGAAAGTTCCCAAGAACAGGTTACCAGGCAATGCTCCCAAGAGCAGGTTCCTAAGAATAGGCTCCCAAGAACAGGTTCCCAAGCAAGGTTCCGATGAACAAGTGTCAAGCAACGTTTCCAAGAACAGTTGCCCAGGCAAGGTTCCAAGAACAGTGAACAACAGAATACTGCAAAGTTTGAAGAATGGTTCTAATAACGGAACGGAGAGATTGAAGAACTAGTTTTGCTTCAAAACATGATTCGCACATGGATAAAAACACTAGACGACAGCGTGGCCTGAAAGAAAGCAGGAGGGAGGAGACGACAAATAATACACAAGAAAAATGATGATGGTGATGGTGATGGTGATGACGATGACGATGATGATGATGATGATGATGATGATGATGATGATGACGGTGACGATGATTATGACAACAATGATGATGGCGATGACGATGGGCAATGACGACGTAGATGATGATGAATGATAGCTAACGCGGGTCAAATGTCATATATCCACGGTTTCATGCCTGTTTTGTCCCCGCAGAGGGTCTGCTTCAGGGCTGGCACCTGAGCGGCAGTCAGAATCAAAAGACATGTTTTTTCACACAGCGAAAAAATTACACAGAGAAGGTTTTACACACATAAGCCTTTACACTGAGAGGCCTTTACACAGAGCAGATTTACACAGACGCTTTTGCACACAGACGCTTTTACATACAGAAGCTTTTACACAGAAAAGCCTTTTCTGAAGAAGCCTTACCACACGAAGCCTTTACACAGGGCAGCTTTACACACAGACGCTTTTTCACAAAGAAGATTTTCCCCATAGGAACTTCAACGTGCAGATGCCCAAGCTTTTACACACACACGCCCTTACACAAAGAAGCTTTTAGACACAGAAACTTTAACAGCCTTTTCACAAGGAAGCTTTTACAGAGAAGCTTTTGCACAGAGATGCCTTTACAAACAGAAGCTTTTACACACGGAAGTTTTTACTCAGACAAGCCTTGAAACAGAGCAGCTTTTACACACAGAAGCTTTTACACAGAGAAGCTTTTGCACAGAGAAGTCTTTACACACAGAAGCTTCTACACAGACGGAAGCTTTTACACGCAGAAGCTTTTTCGCAGACAAGCGTTTGCGGGAAGGACCTTTGCGCACAAACGCTTTTACACACAGCAGCTTTCACACAGAGAAGCCTTTGCGCGGACCAGCTTTTACACACAGGTCTCTTTTCACAGAGCAGCGTTTACGCGGAGCAGCTTTTGCAGACTGAAGCTTTGACGCAGAGAGGCCTTTACGCACAGAAGCTTTTACACAGAAGCTTTTGCACACAGACGCCTTTGCACACACACACACACAAATGCTTGTACACAGAGCATCTTTTATACACAGAAGCATTTACACACAAAAGCTTTACGCACACGCCTTTACACACAGAGCTTTTACACACAGACGCTTTTACACACAGAAGCCGTCACACAGAGCAACTTTTACACAGAGCAGCTTTTGCACACAGACGCCTTTGCACAAAGAAGCTTTTATACACAAACGCTTTTACGCATAGAGGCCTTTACACACAGAAGCTTTTACACACAGAAGTTTGTACACAGAAGCTTTACACAGGGAAGCTTTTACACAGAGAAGCCTCTACACAGAGCATCTTTTTTACACAGAAGCATTTACGCACAAAAGCTTTGCACACACACGCCTTTACACACAGAGCTTTTACACACAGACGCTTTTACGCATAGAAGCTTGTTCACAGAGCAGGGTTCACACAGAGCAGCTTTTACACACCGAGGCTTTTTCATAGAGGGAGGCCTTTGCACAGAGCAGCTTATACAATCTTATGCGCACAGAAACTTTAACACGCAGATGCCCAAGCTTGTACACAGAGGAGTCTTTAGTCACAGAGACATTTACACAAAAGTTCTTCACACAGAGGCGGCAGATGCGTCTACACACAGCAGCTTTTGAACACAGATGCCTTTACACACGCAAGCATTTACGCAGAGACGCCTTGACATATACACGCCTTTGCACACAGAAGCTTTTACACACAGTTTTTTTCAGAGAATCACAGAAGCTTTGACACAGAGAATGATTTTCACACAGAAGCTTTTACGCACAGAAGCTTTTCCACAGAAGCTTTTACACAGAGAAGCTTTTTACGCACAGGAGCTTCTACACAGACGCCTTTACACTCGGAAGCTTGTACACACGAAGGCTTTTACACACAGAAGCTTTTACACAGAAGCCTTTACACATAGACGCTTTCCCACAGAGAAACCATTTCCAGAGAGCAGCTTTGACACGCTTCAAGATTGCAGTTTTACTTAAGTTTTTGACGTTCGGCCGTCATTTTGTGCGAAAGGGTTGCATATCGCGTTGGAAAATCACAATTTTTGACGTTGGGCAATCATTTTGCGTGAAAGGGTCGGGCCTGACCTTGTAAAATCACAATTTTACACAAGTTTGATTTCGCGCGAACCGGTTGTGCCTGACGGTTCAAAATGGATAAAGTCACCAATTCTTGAACGTTTGCATCTGACGTTAAACAACCGCAATTTTCCCACAATTATTGCCGTTTGACTTTCATGCGATGGGGTTGCGCCGGGCCTCACCAAATTGACATTTTGCCACATGCTTGGACGTCCGACCTGGGCGATCTCTGCAGAGGGTTGCCCGTACCCAAAAGAAATTCCACATTCTACCACATGTTCGGGCGTCCGACACGCACGATCTCCGCAGACGGTTGCTGCGGGCAAAGAAGATTCGCATTTCACCACTCCACATCTTTGCCCATCCGACACGCGCGATCTCCGCAGAGGGTTGCCCAAGGACAAACAAGACCCGCATTTCACCACATGTTTGGGTGTCCGACAGGGGCAACATTTCGTAAGCCGCCGCTGTTCGTGCCGCAGAGAGAAATAGAAGAACTGGAGAAGTCTGATTTTGCGGGAGTTCAGATAGAATTTGATCACTTGGAAGTTAGCTGAACTCCTGTGTAGCAATTCCTGTGTAACAATTTCTGTGCAAATGACCTTGCAGGAGTTTTGTCGGAGTTCAATTAGAAGTGGATCGATCACCTGCAAGTCAACTCCTGTGTAAATGACATTAAAGTTTTGTAGGAGTTACCCAGAAATTGATCACCTGTAGCTGATGTAGGAGAAGTTGTCTATGTTATAGATGATGAGGATGAAGTTGTAAGTGATGTAAGGTTAGATCGATTAGAAAATGTAGGTGATGTAGAGGATGTAGTGATGTAGATGATGATGTAGGTAATGTATGTGTTGTAGATAAGGTATGTCATATAGATGAGGTTGATGGAAAATGTGTAGCCGGTATAGATAATGTAGGTGAGATAGATGTAGATGATGTAGATGATGTAGATGATGTAGATGACGTAGATGATGTAGATGATGTAGATGATGTAGATGATGCAGATGATGTAGATGATGATGATGATGATGATGATTGGTGATGATGATGGTGATGATGATGTAGATGATGTAGATGATGATGATGATGATGATTGGTGACGATGCTGGTTGTGATGATGATGATGATGTCGATGATGATGATGATGATGATGCTGCTGCTGGTGGTGGTGGGAGTGGCGGTGATGTAGATGTAGAGAAGATGGTGTAGAAGATGTAAGTGATGTAAAGGACGTAGGAGATGTGGATGATGTATGTTGGGTAGATGAAGTGAAGAGTGAGGCGGGCAACAGTTCTTTGGGAAAAAACCATTCGCACGAACTTCGGGAATATTGGCCCTTCAGCTGCCACAGTATTGCAAACGCTTTTGGAAAAACTGTTTTCATAACGTGTTTGTGCTGTGATTGCGCCTTGCACGCCTGGCCTCTAGAGTAAGAAGGGCTGGGCAATAAACATATTTTTATTGCGTGTTGGTCAAGTGTTTTTGTTTTTGGCTGTTGGGGATACTTTTTGGGTTTATTTTTTCTTTGATTTTGGACGTCGAACAATCTGGTAAGATGGAACTTGTATATGATAACTTCGAGCATTTCCATATTCCATACATTTCACGGCAATTTTCAGGGTGAGATTCAGGGCGGACACTTGATTCCAACGTAGAATGCTGAAGAGGGCGTATAAAATTCTGCCAGATCTTTTCCATGGGCTCTACAAACAAGTTTGCCCTGGCAGAACCATATCATTCCACCCTCACTAGCACGCCGCAATTGTACAGTACCACTTATGTAGGTTGACTTCATGAAACATGGGTCACATTTCTTACCATGTGAAATTATACATGTCTAGAGTTTTCAAAGTAGTAATAATGACTTGACATATCAACGTCAGGTACTTGATTCGAATTTTCAAAGACCGACATCCATTTGTGGAGTCAGGGGGTCACTAGAACAGCTCACCACTGCCAATCGGAAATTTGAAACTGGCCTCAAATTTTGAAAAGTTTTGGGCCTTTGATGCATCAATCCATTGGTCACACACTAACCGTTGCGCTAGTCTCTTGGTTTCATCCACTTTTTTCAGGAACATCTCGTAGCATCTAAGTCATCACTGAGTCGGCGTTCAGTCGCCATTAAGTCACCATTACGGCATCATCCTAATCACATTGCTAAGTCATGACTAAGTCACCATTGAGTCACCATGAAGTCAGCATCGTCTCACAGGTGCCAGATCCCGTCTACATTTTGCACCCCGAGTCCAAACGCTACGAGCCCTTGGACCCACAAGTGATCAGCCAGCTACAGCAGGGACGTTCCAAGTTGCTGGAGCTCCCAGTGCTTTCACCCACGATGGTTGAGTTTGGCACTAGTTCCCTGGATGGGGGATGTTTATCAGGAAATCGTAGTGATTGTAGAAATGATATGTGATGATTGTAGTCATCAACAAAGCCTTTTTTTAAAGACATGACTTTTGGTATTTGTTGATTTGGATGGTACATGATGGGGCCAAGTAATTGGAAAATACGGAAACATGATTCAAATGAAGCTGGCAATCCAAAAGTTGGGAGGAGCGCAGGGATCCGAATACACTTCAGAACTGAATTTCTCGTATCTTTCACTAGCCATGCTGGTGCCAAGGTGAGGTAGTCGGCAGGAGACAGGGGGGAGGCAGATGGTTATGCGGCAGGTGGCCATGGATTTCAATGGGTCCAAGATCCCAAGATCCTTTCCCTACAGACCATGAATTTTGAATAATTTTGATATCAAAGTATATCAAAGTTGTGGATCCTCGGACCCCTCCGACCTTCCCCAAAAATGTGATATCTGTGGCCCCACAACCTTCGGTACCATGTTGACAGGGTATCTGTGGCACAGGACCAGTGGAGCAGTGAGCCAAAACGGTCCCGGTTTTGGATGCCCAGAGTCGGCTATCGGACGCCATCATCCAATGGCTCTCATGGACAAGTTTGGATTTTCAAGAGACTAAATGGCTCTTATTGGTATTATATAATTGTTCTATTATGGTCTTGCACTAATAATATTAGATTATATGATATAATAATTATTGGTATTGGTTCTGGATGGTTCTCCCATCATTGGGGTCTGATTCCTCCATGAGCTTCTTGGTGACGCGTTCGTCGAAACTTTTGGATTTGTCCTGGCAGATCGGAGGTCTGTTGACCAGGCTCCACCGTTTGTTGTGGTGTCTGTTTGCCTGGGGCTTGTGGACCAGATGGCACGATGCTGGCCCCGTTTGGGGGAGGCAGTCCTTGCAAAAGACAAGTGATGTATAGCTGACAAGTCCCTGGGAAGGATGCAACTGGGCATTTATCATCTTTAGGACCCGGCAGACAAACATTTGAAACACTTTGCGTCCTTTCTCCAGGTGAGCTGAGTGTATAGTGACCAAAATGGTGCAAATGGTTGCTCTCACAGTCATGTTGAAGTGTATATTGACTCAATATTGACATATTGTCCCAAATGCTTCAACTGGCACTCAACTGGCTTTCTTCTCAAGACACAATAGTGGGTTCCAAAGCCTTTGTTTCTGAGCGGATTTGGTGACTTTGGGCTCCATACCGGGTTCCCGGTAGGTCGGCCGGTGGGTCGGCCCAAATGCAGGCTGCCATGCCTGGCCTCCAAGATGTGGAGATTGGGGCCCGGGGTGCTTTTTCCAGTGGAAAACAATTTTGCCAAAACATCAAATCCCATTTTGGAGTATGGTTTCTAGTAGATAGGATAATATTGGATAACTGTAAGTTTCTGATTGGCTTTATCACATACGCTAGTCCTGGCCCGCTTACGAACATTGCAAGCAACCTGCCATGGAGAGGAGGAGTTGGGTGCCATGAGACCTTGTAGCTGGTACAGGAACACATTATTGTCAGCAAAATCCCGCACGGAATAATTGTCATTAATCGAAGGAAGTTTTAGAAGTCAAACTTCCGACAATATGGACAGATGAAAAGCAGAGCAGGGCAGAGGCAGAGAGAAGAGAAAGATTAGAAGAGAGAAGAGTAGAAGAGAAAGAGTCAGAAAAAAGAAGATACAGATGCGCGAAAAGGTAGGAAAGTCGCGAAACACTGTGTTTTTCCAATGATTTGTGGCTCCGGAGGGTCGAAAAGTAGGCTTGCTAAAGCGGCGGGTGCGGAGCCAGCTGGCCAGACGAGAGATGAAAAATTGCACGCCGTTGTGGCGCGAAGCACATTTCCAAGTCAAAATGTACAAAACACCTCAGTGTCGGACGACTTTTGGAAGTTGAGATGTCGAAAAGGGCACGCCGTTGTGGCGCGAAGCACATTTGGAAGTCAAAATGTTAAAGACACTAGGGGTTCGGACCACTTTTGGCAGTTGAGATGTCGAAAAAGTGCACGCCGTTGTGGCGCGAAGCACATTTCCAAGTCAAAATGTACAAAACACACCAGCGTCGGACCACTTTTGGAAGTTGAGATGTCGAAAAAGTGCACGCCGTTGTGGCGCGAAGCACATTTCCAAGTCAAAATGTATAAAACACAACATGTTCGCGCCACTTTTGGAGGTTCGGATGTTGAAAAAGTGCACGCCGTTGTGGCGCGAAGCACATTTCCAAGTCAAAATGTACAAAACACCACATGTTCGCGCCACTTTTGGAAGTTCGGATGTCGAAAAAGTGCACGCCGTTGTGGCGCGAAGCACATTTCCAAGTCAAAATGTACAAAGCACCACATGTTCGCGCCACTTTTGGAGGTTCGGATGTCGAAAAAGTGTACGCCGTTGTGGCGCGAAGCACATTTGGAAGTCAAAATGTACAAAGCACCCCAGGTCCGGACGACTTTTGGAGGTTCAGATGTCGCTTCGCTTCAAGACACTACACTACAGGACATTACACTACAGTACACTCCAGTACACTACATTACACTACATTACAGTCCAGTACACTCCACTACATTAAATTACACTACACCACACTACATTACACTGAATGACACTGCAACACAGATAGACAGGTAAACAGCTAGACAGATAGACAGATGAAAGGGAGAGATAGATAGACATGTAGGTAGATAGATAGATAGATAGATAGGTAATTAGATGAAAGAGAGAGAGAGAGAGGCCAGCTGGGTAGATGAGATATATAGATAGACGGATAGATAAAGAGACAGATAGATAGATGGTTAGACAGATAGGCAGACAGACAGACAGACAGACAGACAGACAGATAGATAGATACATCGATAGATACATCGATAGATACATCGATAGATACATCGATAGATAGATCGATAGATAGATCGATACATGGAGAGATAGATAGATACATAGAGAGATAGATAGATAGATAGATAGACAGACAGACAGACAGATAGATAGATAGATAGATAGAGAGATCGATAGACAGATCGATAGATAGATAGATAGATCGATGGATAGATACACAGATAGGTCGATAGATAAATACATAGATAGATGGACAGACAGACAGATAGATAAATAGATAGATCGATGGATGGCTGGAAGAAGAGAGAGACGGACAGATGCATGGATGAATCGATAGAGAAACAGAACGAAGAACATGATGATGGATACCCGTGGACATGGATGAAGAGATGGACGGGACAAAAAAAAACTAACAGAGAGAAGTAAGTGCATGGATGCATGGCTGGATAGACAGAAAGATGGAGAGTTTAATAGTTAGGTGAATAAAAAATCGAACGATAGCTACATGAATAGACAGGTAGATAGGTAGATGGCTAGAAAGGTAACTCTGTAGATACATGGCGAAAAAGAGAGAGACAGAGAGAAAGAGAGAAAGAGAGACAGAAAGGGAGAAACACTCAACCACCTTTCAATCCATCAGTGGGTTCGCTCTGCCATGTTTGCGCCACAGCAACTCACCTCTCCTATAGGTTTTTCATTCCCCACCTGCCAGGTGAGGGTTGTTAGATTTTATGTCAGTTGCCTCCTCCTCCTGCCGCCTCCTGCCTCGTCCTGCCTCCTGCCTCCTCCTCGTCCTCCTTGTCGTCCTTGTCGTCCTCGTCGTCCTCGTCGTCCTCGTCGTCCTCGTCCAACTGCGACCCGCGATCCACAGTGTTCGCTGCCGGACCTCAACCACGACCATCCACGACTAGTGTTCCCTGCCGGACCTCAACCACGACCAGCCACGCCCAGTGTTCCCTGCCGGACCTCAACCACGACCAGCCACGCCCAGTGTTCCCTGCCGGACCTCATCTGCGAGTATCCATGCCAAGTGTTCCCTGCCGGACCTCAACCGCGGGGATCCATGCCAAGTGTTCCCTGCCGGACCTCATGTAGGAAGATATGGGACAAAGAATGTGCAGAAGAAAGTTAGAAAGAATGTCAGAAAGAATGTCAGAAGATATGCCAGAAGATATGCCAGATAGAATGCCAAATAGAATGCCAGATATTAGAATGCCAGAAGATATGTCAGAATATATGCCAGATAGAATGCCAGATAATATGCCAGAAGATATGCCAGATAGAATGCCAGAAAATATGCCAGAAGATTTGCCAGATAGAATGCCAGAAAATATGCCAGAAGATATGCCAGATAGATATGCCAGATAGAATGCCAGATTGAATGCCAGAAGATATGTCAGATAGAGTGCCAGAAGATATGCCAGATAGAATGGCAGAAGATTTGCCAGATAGAATGCCAGAAGATTTGCCAGAAGATATGCCAGATCATATGCCAGAAGATATGCCAGATAGAATGCCAAATAGAATGTCAGAAGATATGTCAGATAGAATGCCAGAAGATTTGCCAGTAAGAAAATGTATAAATGTCATGGTGGGGATCACACGAAGTAAAGTAATTTTTGAAATTTCCGCCACCGCCTTGTGCGGTACTACTGGTATTGTCATTAATATCACATATTATTATTGTTATTAGTATGCTTGTTATTATCACATCATATCTTAAGTTTTCAAACGCGCGCCCGATTTTAAAGATTTGGGGTCGACAACATTGTACTTCAAGTGGTGGACGATTCCAGAACTCAGCTGGCCAAAAAAACACCGATCGGTGAACCCCAATGGATAGTATCCCCAATGGATAAGTTACTACCCCTTGGTGGCAATTTCGTGAAGGGTCAATTTGGCTCCACACCAAGGCCTGGGGAAATCCTCGCTGTGGCAGCCTCGGTGCAGATTGTGGGGGGATTCTTGTGGTTCTTCGCTTCCTATTTTTGCCTTGGAAATACCCAACATTTTAACATATTTTGACCATATCAAACCAAAATCTTGCTTTGATTCTTTCATGAGAATGAACTTTGCTCAGCTCGCAATGGACAATTCCAATGGGAAGCTGAGCCTCAACAAGCACATGAAGGCTGTGATTAAGTTGTGCCAGTAAGGATGATGTATCTATCCGCTGCGGCACAGCGGAGATCTGGAGTGAAGAAGTTTTGCCGTTGGTTTTTATATCCTTTTGTAGCAAAAATCCCCAATTCTGAATTGGAAGTTGTTCAAAGAACATACATTTTCCATCACGTGACCAGAGGGGTAGTGATGGTCTTAGACATTAGACTGAGGGCAGCGGTGTGAGCGTGGCGGCCAAGTCCAGGTTGAGAGATCGAAGAAGGCTACCATAAAGTGGCCATAACACACAAGGGACTTAGAATGCAGTGGATATAGTGGATCAGATGGCGTTTCCGATTGAAAGAGGAGACTCAAAAATCGAAAGGTTGGAACATCAATCTAAGTATTCTAAGTCATGCTCTTTCTAAGTCATATGGCAGTCGACCATGAGACATCGGATGACATCGGCATCAGGTGCACACTACGGATCCTTGGGCGATGCCGTCGATGCCGAAGCCGCCAAGTGCCCTGGGACCACGTGAAAAACCGGTCACCCTGAAGCGGCTAAGCGGCTAAGCATCGTATGGCGGCCGTCGATATGCAAAAAATATACACCTACAGGTCACCTACATGGCCTACATGTAGTGTATGCAAATGTCGTATGTA